CTATTTTCAAAGAAAATTTGTGGAAAATCCCCTATAATTTTTTTTTAAAATATGAGATATTGTAGAAATAATCAATCATACATATAAGATATATGTAGAAATAATAAATCTAAAATATTCTACATGTATATTTTATCAGTGGGCATTGGTCTTTGAATGTTATCAGCAGTGTTTCTAAAAAGTGGATAAACGGCCTACTGCTTGGAAGAAGATGACTTAGAGTAACTTCAAATCAATTTATGAATAGAGTAAAAACAAGAGGAGAGGAAAAAAAAAAAAAAAAAAGGAAAATACCCCTTCCTTGGATGGTCCTGCCAACCCTTATTCTGTGGCAACTGATTTCCAGTTTCAGTTTGCATTTTTAGATGTAAACCAGCTTAAGTTGGTTTCCACTGACTTGAGTTTTGAAGGGAGAAATCTTTGCTTTTTAGGCTCCTAAGCAATCTTTTTCTTTGCTTGCCTTTGACAAAACTGAAAACAGAATCTCTTTGCTGTTAGAGGCAAACATTTTTACCTGGTCCTTCTTGTGATTAGAAAGTTTCAAACATAAGAGTGGGGTAGAAATCAGATGTATTCATGAACATCTGCTACTGAGCTCATGTGATCATATGTCTGTCATGACAGACTGTGAGAAGTAATAACATTTTTCTTCCTTAAAAATAAAACCCAGCACACAAGCAAAACTCCAAAACTTGTTAAAAGTACTTTTACGTCCATTTTTGATTTGTTGGTAAACGTACCTGAGTTATAAGTTAATTGCTTCTATTTGTTTCTGATTTTATCCCTTTGGGACCTTGAATTGTTTCCAAAGCAGCTTGAATCTCCTTTTGAACTCATGACATCTGGTTTGACTACTCATCTACTAAGACCTCTTCCTCCAGCAGTTACAGAAAAATGGAAAAGTTATGAGTTTTCATAATGAGTCAAGTTTGCATTGTATCCACCTGGAAAAACATTACACCTCCATCTTACATTTTTTCCTAGAGGAGTTCTAGAGGCGTTGCGATATGTTGTTGTTGTTGTTGTTTTTCTCCCTACATTCTGAACAGCATTAATACCACATCCATAGTCTGGTAGTCAGATTTCTCTTCAGTCCTCCTTACTTCATGCCCCAGTTTGAGTTCAGAGAAAGCTGATAGTTTTTTTTTGTCATATATCCTTTTAAAGATGAGTACTTGAATATTACCCTAGATTCCTTTCTGGTTAGTGGCACTAAAACCATGGCATACTTTCTCAACCTAGCAAGAGTGCTTTTCTCAGAGGAAAGTCAGATTGCTTTGCCATTATTTGCCCACATTACATGATGCGTACTCACAAGAAAATGAACTAAAATATAATTTCCATTATGCTTGAGACATAGACAGCTTTTATCACTGTAAGAGTTTGCAGAATTACAAAGATATTTTAATTTCCACTAATACTTGCAGACAATCATATTAATAGATCAAAGATGTAGTAATGTTGGAAATCTGTACATTGCCGTTCTACTACTTAAGGTATAAAACACCTTCTTTTTTGAATATGCTGTAATTTTCACTTCTGGACTCTTGAAGCGGCAGGGAAACTTCTGGATACAGCTCAAAATAGATTGAGAATCTGCCACAGGTAATAGATCAATTCCACGCACTATTGTTGTAAATTAAGTCAACGACTGTCCAGATATGACATTTTCTTCTTTCTTTTCTTTTTATGACTATACTATATCTACTCAGTTTGACAGCTAGGGTAAAAGGTATAGGTAATTTATTAAGTTTAAGATGCTTTTAATAGACAGTGTAGGACTTGCAGTTCATTATTATTTACTTCTATGAAGAGGAAAATATAGGCAGGTTGAAAAGAAAAAGAGTGTACTCTAGGTAAGAAGGAGACTTTGTCAGTCCATAGTTAAAATAAATATGATCTTTCTGTTGTGCATTTTCCCACATAAACTTTGGTACTTTCTTTACCTAAAATTTATACCACCCCTTAGTATTGAATCAAAGTGTCCAAGCAGATTTTTTTTCAAGTCTTATATTTTTCCTTATGAAAGGATGAAAAAATATTTTAAATCTTGTGCAAATCAGTCTTGTCAAGATTAGAAGTGTCCTGTCAACAGCAGGAAATAGTTTTGTCTTCCTTGTTTTGGGTAATTTAAAATGTGTTTGTGAAATTATGAACACTTTATATTATATAACATTAAATTTATTTTATAAAAATATTTGTATTTCCATATAAATGTGCTTATAACACAGACAGTACATCACAGCTTCGTGTTCCATAGTTTCCATTCAAGAGGACACAAGAAGATCTTAAATAGGTTATTGGCACAGACCCTCTGCCAGTTCAGTATGTGACATAGTCAGCAAACCCCATTTCCTGCACTTGTAAAATATTTGATTATTTAATTGTGTTCAGTGAAGGGAGGGAAATCACAGGGCAATTCTGTACTCTGTGTGCTCTCTAGAGAAAATTAGGCTATTATCTGAGTGTGGTAAATAAAGTCTCATATATAAGAGATTATGAGTGTCATCTGTAATGTGTGGTGACTATTTCATGCTCAGTGCCTTCTGCCATAGTACTTAATTCTTCTTATGGATCTTCTTACAGTTACCAAAATTAACCCTTAATGAAGAAATTTATTATAGTATATGAAGATAAGAACTATAGGATTTCATGCTACTTCTGTTTCTCTTTAACAAAGATGCAACAATTTTAGCACAAGTCAGTCACTAACAGCTCAGATTTCTTCAGACATATCTTCACTCTTGTTTAATACAAGTTTTTTTTTAAATAAAAACTTGAATTTATTGCAGTGTGGACTAGATTTTTGGCAAGTTTTTTTTTTAGTGCACAACAAGGAAAATTACTTTTTAATGTGAATTTTGTTAACTCAGTTTTACCTCTTTTTTCATTCATATTTGAGGAAAGGGTAGGAATTGGTTATGATTACTTCCTTTTCTTATCACTTTAGAATAAAAATAATAACTAGAATCTCTTCAGAATAAAAATAACTTGTCTTAGAATCTTGGAGGAGAGTGAGAAACAATAATTTCTGTTCACCAATATGAAATATTGTTCTTGGATTTAATCTTCATTAATTTTAAATCTTAAATTCTTAATTTTAATGACAAACAAACAAAAAACCTCCAAAACAGAAGATGGATAATCTACCCAGTATATTTAATGTTAATGACTGTTTTGTTAAACTTCAATTGAGTGGTAAGGCAGCCAAACAGAACTTAGTACCAGTGAATATATAATTTACTACACACAAAGGTTAATTCATAGTTCTATTTAATAGAATATAGGATTTAGAGAATTGCAGGACTGCACACATAAATATATTTAGATAATGTGTCATCAAAATTTCCCAATATATTCACCAGGCTTTGAGAAAACTAATATTGTAGGTGCAAACCAATATTAGTATTGATATAGGGTTGTCTGCTGGTTGAGATTTATCATTAAAACTGATAATTTTGAGCAGACTGCCTTGATCCTCTACAGCAGATGTACAAATTGATTTGTATTTTCTTCAAGTTCTGCCTGAAAACAAAAAAGTGTTAGTTAGGTGTCATCATGATTTGATGTCCCTAGCTAGTCCCTAGCTGGAAATATGTCAGCAGCCTGTGTTATCATATAGTTCATCAATTTTGTGTAGTTAAATACTATCTCATGGTGGGTTCACCCTCAGTCTAAAGAGGCGAAGTTGAGGGATGTTAACTGGGTGTGTGTAATCTCTGTTAATGCCACAGTGACAAGGTACTTTTGATGGTATAGATTCCACAGTCAAAGAAGTTCTCAAAATATATTTCATCACAAGAGCAAGAGTAATTCTGTATAGCTGTAGAAGGGAAATATAATAAAGGTGAAAATGCTGTCATTGTGTGTTCATCATTTGGTGCAGAGTTGCACTTGAATCAGTTTGACTGCAACTTTCTCATGATGGCATATTAGAATCTTTGAAACCTACTGATACATTTGTTTCTTAAATATGAAAGTAAAGCTCTCTCTGGAATGGCAGGCTAATTAAAGTTCCTGAATAAAATTTGTAGAAATGCTCTGAAAGCATTTTAAAAAACCAGTTAATGAGCAGAGCACTACTTTTAAAAAATGGGGAGAAGGTCAAAGTTTGTTTAGTAGATCTTTTTGCTTTGATTTGAAGACTGCATTTCCAGTTTTGATATGATTTTGCTGTACAAAGATTGGAGTTATCAAGCTGCTAAGGTCAGAAGGTGAAGTAAAACAAGGGAAGTTAGGGATAAAAACTCCTTGGTGCTCCAAAGAAGAAAAAGTCCTTTGCTGACAAATACTTTTGCATGGGAAAGTGATTTCTTACTATGTCACCTGCACAAGATGAATCAAATTTTCTAATTTACTTCCATCTTGTTTTTATAAATAACATATCTATCTATCTATCTATCTATCTATCTATCTGTCTATCTATCTATGCACACATGTGCATATGTATAAATGCTTTGCATACAGTTCATGGAATACAAAAAGCTACAATTATATGTCCAGTTCTTACACACTAAGCACCTTTAAACTTAGAGATCAGAAGACAAGTCTTAAATAGTTCTTATGCTTTGCTATAATATCTACACAAAAGACATCATTAAAGGTTTCTTGTTGTTTGTTCTTTTTGTAACCTGGTGGTGAGAACTCCCAGATCTTCTGACAGAAACACAGGAACAAGTAACACTGCAAGCAGGCTTTTCTTTTCCTGGCAGATCTATTTCTGTTGTCCTGAGGGAAATGAAAGAACAGATAGCTGATAATTTGTCACCTTGACTAATTTCTTATTGCATTTTTCTCCATATTACATATATAATATTTTGGAATAATTATTTTTTCTTTCCTTCAATGCTTACTAAATCCCTTGCAAATGTCTCTTCAGCGTAAGTGAGGAGTGCATCAGTAAGATGGCATTTGAGATAAAGCTTTTTACCTTTAGCAGTACATTTTCCTTGACAAAATACATGAGTTGATCTATTGATTGATTTTTTTTTTAAATTTAGGCAATTACACTTTTAACCGAGCTAATCAGAGAGAACTTCAGAAACAGCAAATTGAAGCAATGCTTTCTACCAGCACTTGGGGAGCTGCTTTACCTCATAGCCAGCAAGGTAAGACTGCAAGTGATCCTTACAAATTTGGCAAATGTGAAAAAAATTCCCATGGAAAATGAGACCAAAAAACTCAAATTACTTAGTCATTTGTATAGTCAACAATTTCTTATCCTGTCTTCTCTAATACTTATTCTACTTTAAGAAACATGCTAGTCCAATCATTTACTTCATCACGGATTAATTAAACAGCATTTTTCAAATGTAGAATTTTAATTTCATAAAAGGAATTTAATCAAGCACAATAAACATTGCTGGTTTCCAAGTGGCAGATCTAAGGGTTCAAACATCTAAGCTAGAGATGATGATTAAATAGGATGTATGAGGACAGTCTATAATGTCAATAAATTAATATATTAGTGTATGTATATCTCTAGTCCATATTAAATCTTATTGTAGCTTGATTGGATTCACCGCACAGTGGAAAAGGAAATTAAATTATCCTGACTAATTTCAAATGGACTTGTGTTTATTCCTGATTAAAACTGATTTAAATCTTGAGTCTAGAAGTAGTAGATTTGCATTAAAAGTAATCAGAGGTTGTTTGCAGAAAAGAAATACTGGTAGTGTTAAGAATTGGAGCTGACAGATCCTTTAAACCATCACATATGTTTTTCCATATTCTAAGAATAAAATACTCTTTTACTTAACAGAAACAAAAGTGTCTTCAAGCAGAAGAAGTATAATCTTGGCTTCTCTGAAGCCTTTGTGTTATCTGCATCGTCTAATAGCTCTGAATGCTGACATGTTAGTTTAACAAGGCAGCTGGTAATGGAGCAAAAGTGGCAAATGAATTGTTACTTTGGCTTTAATTATGGCTTTCTACTGAATTTCCAGGTTTTATTTTCTTTATCCTCTAGCTCATTTGCATGTTCCACAAGATGTAGTGGTTGCCTTGGTTTTTGTAGAATAAAAAGCATTGTCCTATTTTTGTTGGACAATTGCCAAAGTATTTGTCAAATACATTCTCACAGAACTTATAAATGTGAAATTATGTTCTGAAAAATGCATCCACCGTCACAGTTTATATGTTTTAATACTTGCTCGGTTTCCTCAGGAGGAAAGACTTCTACCTGCTATCATCAAACAAATGAACTTAAAACTCCAACTTAAAAATTGCATTTGGCAATATTTTGCATGGCTTGATTTTATTTTGAAGTTAAACTCTGATAGCTTGAACAATTCTGTTAACACTGGTTGTATAACACCAGAATGATTTGTACAGGTTTTTTCCATCTGAAAATGTGACCTGACAAATTTTTCAGTCTGTGTATGAATTTTATAATGTTTGAAGCATTACAACTTGCATATGAGTGACAAGTCTATCATGTTTCAAGGTTGGTCATACATACACACACACACAAATATTAATGGGTTGCATTATGTTATAGCTAAGAAATTAATAGAGTGTAGGAACAAATATTTGGACACATATGAGCTCAAGACACCATGTCTTGGTAAAATTTTAAAAATATCAGTGTGATTTGTATGCTTGAAAATACTAACCATACAATTTTTTTTAAGAAAAGCACTTTTCATTTTTCTATTCTATACGTATTTAACTTCAGAATACGGTAGCATTGTAGGCATTTTGTAGCTCATTAAACTGTCAAACAGTAGTGCTGAATGACCTTGCCAAGATCATATAGCAAGTCAGGGGTAGTATAATAAATGGAAACAAAAAGTTTATTGCCAACTTATATCTTTAAACAGCAAAGCCTTATGACTTGACTAATAAAGAAAAAGAAATCATAACTGCATCTAATTAATTAAGGACTATACACTTGGTTTTTTTCGTTTCCATCCATTTTGTGCTTTCTTTGGCATGCTTGATTGTTTTATCAAACTGCTGAATATTTTCATTTAAGCTGTAAGTTTTTGAGGGCATGTCTGATTTTATTTATTCATTTATTCCCTCTGGGGTTTTGTGAAGCATTTCTAGGTCCAGCCACCATTTTTTATATTAAATAATGGCAGAGATTCTTTCTTTTTCATGTTAACATTTGGTAAATCATAGATTATCAAATATTTCAAATCAAATTCAGCTGTTTAGATGCAAGATGATTAATGAGGTAAAATATAAGGTTACTGTTTGCACTTCTTTGGCTTAGAAAATTCTGGGAAATGTCCAGATAATCGTAACAGTCCAGTGCATTCCTAAAGTCTGATGTTGTGTGTGTACTTGCTTATGAGATCTCATAAGTAAGATCTTACACTCCATCTCTGCATTTTTATTCCAAACAGAAGCCAAGAGCAATTCACAAGTAGCATGAGCAGACTTCAGGGAGCATGCTCTCATACTCTTGAGTGGATTGCCTTGGGGGAAAACTTTCAAGTTCTATGTAATATTTTTATTAATTTTGTGTTGTTTGTGTTATTATGGTGCAGAACCTAAAGTTTAATCAAAATCAACATGGGCTGTGAGCAAAAAGTAGGAAGATTCCCCAGTGTTTGGTGATGTATTTAAGTTTATTAAGTGTCAAATGCTGTACGTTATGTTTATGTAATTTAGAACAGTACTAAGGTTCATACTCCTTTTGCATTTTAAAATTTCTAAATAGAGATTAAACCTTGCAGAAAGTCTTTAATCAGTTTGAGAAATGGAAGATTTAGGATTGCACGGTTTCTTAAGCCTTTTTATTTTATATCACATTTAATATGTATGGTTACAAATTACCTTGAAAGAATTTCTGCCTAAATTAGGTGAATACAATGAGAAGCAGATCCATGCCAGTTCCACCATAGATTATCATTTTAACTCTGTTTTGACTCTTAGTCTTGTCCTGCCTCTTCCAGGTAGGAAAGATTCTGCTTTTGCCTGTTTGAAAGTAATCTACCTTTACTTTCTTGGAACTTGGGCTGTGTTTTCTTAAACTTAGACACAACACCTTGGAAGGCAGATGGTGATTACTTGTCAGCACGTTCTTACTCACATAGGATGGAGGAGATAGAATGTAGTGGATTTGATGTGTCTGTTGGATGTCAAGCCACTCTTGTTATTACTGTTTATATTGTCCCATACATCCTAATACAAAGTTAGCAGAAAAAAAGCTTACAAATGGGATATTTAACAGACTCATTTTCTCTATGGCTATATGTGGCAAATAAAGTTTTGTTTTCAATAAAGAAGGAAAATTAATTTTACTAGACAATACAGTAATAATCTTCCATGCTAATGTGCCATGCTTTAATTAAAGGTCTGAAATGTTCATATTGTATGTATGTTGAATTACTGTAAGCGACAGAGAAATCAGCAAATTTAGAAAGTATCATTTATTTCTGCATCATTAGCCCCCACCTTGCCTATCCTATCCCTTTTATTAAAACCAGTTTATTAGAATGCTAAAAATAATCTGAGAATATAATTGAGTTCAGGAATTGTGTAATTTCTGAAGAAAATTACTGTTTGTCATCCGTCGTCTACTTACTAAAACAAGTTTCTCATGATTTCATGGCCTGTCATCTTCACATCATCTAATGCCTATTATTTCTCTCTTTCCCAAAAGAGGCTATATTTTTTCCTCTTTCTAATAGCTCTGTGTTATTAGCCTGGATATGGAAGTTATTGCAGTTAAATCTCAGTGACATCCAAGTGTCCCCTTTTAAATTTAAAATTTTGCAATAGGCTATTGCAGGGACAGAGGGACGTGAAGTTCACTTGTTATGGAAGAATTAAGCCCTTATTCAACTAGTAGTGAATTGGCCTAACAGGGTGATTTCAAGGAAATATACAGTAAGATCTTGAAACAGTGTTCATGTGTACCGAAGGCTATAGCCTACAGTAAATTTTCTTAAATACTTGGTATCTCTTTGTATGGCTTTGGGCATTTTTTTCAAAAGAAAGTTGACTTTTTTCTTTTTACCTACCAAAAAAAAAAATTTTGATTTTAAAGACAAACGTTTCTGCTCTTAATAGTCAGTTATCTCTCTGAAGTACTCAAAATGGTTGAGAGGAATGAAAGAACAGACACTTTTTTTGTGTTTGTATGAATTAGAATGAATTGATGAAATGCAGAAATATTAGGACAAACTCTGTTATGGATTTTGGAGACTACTTAAATAAGCTAATAAAATATCAATCTCAGTGCTGCACATGAAATAACATGAAATAGTAATAATGTCCTGAAATTTAATATACTTGATTGCATATGTTAATTTGAAATGTGTATAATATGAACCTTGTTAAGAACATGCTACCCATTTTTTATGTGACTGAGATTGTTGTGATTTTTTGATTTAATCAGTTGTGCCATTGACTTCATTTCAGGAGGAAAAAGGGGAGCACCCTAGGGAATGCTGGGCTGTTCCCTCAGCTGCTTACACTGTGCTAATGAGGTGTCTTCGGGAAGGGGTAAGGCTCTTTCATGGTCCTCAGTAGAATTTCTCCACAGTAATAACCCTTTAGGCATTGTATGAGGATTGTAGCCTGCAGCATTGCAGTACCTTGTCAACCAGGCATTGCTCTTGAATTTAAATAATCATAAGACCATGACCTAAGCAGGAGATTAATGCAGCGTTGTTCTCGGTACATTCAACATTTATGTATTGCTGCTTGTGTTGGGGAAAATGGGATAGTAAATATAAATTACTGTTAATAAATGTGAAATTTTTTAATGATGTAAGCACATTTTGGGAAATGTTCTGACAGTTTGTGCTGTCCTCTTGCAATTTGATTTTCATACATCTTTGTAAATTTTTGAGCAAGATTTAAGTTTCTTTCTTGAAGTGGATGATATAGAGTTTTTTAAAACGGCATTGTTATCCTACTGACTTGTCAGCATTCTTTTGAGGCAAAAAAGTAGTAATTAGGTTTATTCTCATATGTGTGCTTTACTATGTTCTTCATTGGTTTTGGCAATGGCTTAGCTGTGCTAGAAGAAGGGAACAAAAATATGCATATACTTCCGTTTTGAAAATGAAAAAGAATTGAGTGGAGGGTTTACATTCACTGTTTGTATGAGATCACGTTACTTTATTTTTGCCCAAGGCAAAGCTCAAGGCAGAAAACATGTCAGAGGTTGCTAGAAGGTGGAAAGCAAGAGGAAATACCTTTTTTCCTTCCTTTTTGAGCTCTTTATTGCCTACAGATTGTGATTAATAAAGGAAGAGCCTAGATGCATTTTAATATCTTCAAACCTTCATGCGACCAAGAACACAAAACTGAGTTTGTGTTGTGCGCAATTTCCAGCTCATAATTAGAGTAAGATGTCACTCTAAGGCACAGTAGTGAGATGCTATTTAATTATAAATTTAGTAATGGAAGACTTGCTGTTTCTGAATATGCACTATGCAGAAACTAAATCAAGACATCCATAAGACACTAATTTATTCTTATAAAATAAAAGCATTTATTAGTGCTGAAACATGTCAAATTTTTCTTATTAATTTATCTTGATATATTTTTTCTTGAAAAAATGACACAGAATAGAAGTACATTTGCCATGCAATAGTTCAAATTAAATTTAATTAAGCATAAATTTTAAATTATGTCTAGGCTAGCCAACTACATCTGTGCACTTCTATATTTTCTGTTTGTGAGTATGCTCATTTTTAATGTAGATATATATATATTTAAAACATGTTCGAAGCTGTAAAACTCTGCAAGACTTGAGGATGGAATGGACCTCTAGAGGTCATCTAATCCAATCTCCTGTTCACAGTAGATCTAAATAGATCAGGTTGCTCAGGAACTTGTCTATTTGTGTCTTGAATGTCTCTAATTACTATGGTCCCACAATCTCTGTCAGCAATGCCTGCACCTCCTTCATAGGAAAAAGTGTTTACTTGTTTAAACTTGAAGTTTTCACTCCTGGCCATTGCCTCTTATCCTGTGGCTATGCAGCTCTGAAAAGGCTTGTCACCAGCTTTTCTCTATTAAAAGTACATAAGTTTTTCATTCTTATATTAATAATTTTAAAAAAACCGATACGTAATTACATAATGAATTAATTGTAATTGTTCTAAGCCCAGTTGTGAGTTAAGAAAATTTTACATCAGGACGTTTGCTGAAGTGATTATGAACATATTGTCTCAGTATTTATGAAAATGGCAAAATAACATTTTGTAATAAGGTCTGAACTACCACAGTGCATTGTATATGCACTACAAATACTCACTTCTAGTTTTAATTTCCAGTTAAGAATCTTTATTTGATGTATTTAATAAAAATTCAAGAAAATAAAACCAGTTCATGTCATTCAGTACTGTGGTTTATATAGTTTTGATCTTTGTAAGCTAAGTTCACTGTTCTTGAGTTTTATTATGAACTCCTGTGAAGTGTTCTTGGACTTCTGAAGTTTTATAAGATTTGTCATTATCAAAGCAGAATTGCCCTCTGAAACAGAACAATAGAACAGGAAGAAGTTTGAAATATGTGTATGTCCCTTTTATTTGTGTATAAAGGAACAAAATGTTCAGAAAATGCAGGTAGTGTCATTTCCACATACCTTCTGTGCCTGAAAATCTAACAGTGATAAAAAAGTGTATGGGTCAGCGAAAGGAGTTTTAGGATGATGGAAGCAGAAGATTGGGAAAGTCTTTTATCTGTAGGGGAACACAAGTTCAGATTTCCTGCATTTCAGTGTTGTTAACTTGAGATAGAAGCTGATTTTCAACTCAGGCAAAGAACAGTGGAGTTCAATTATGTGTCAAAATAAGGGAATTGGTACACTCATAAATAAGTAAACGATAAGCTTGATTTGACATGTTTAGTCTTGGTATAATGTTGTGGTCTGTAAGAATGGATGTAGTAAATGTTCCAATATTTATTTGCTAATCTTTTCCAACAACAGTTTCCAATGGTGAAACAAAATGCTTGTTCCAGATATCTGTATTTGTTTAAGTTCAACTTCTAAATGTTTGTGTGCAATCTTTAAGATAGGAAGGTCCTGATTTCTCCTGCTAAATTGTATAACTGTTAGTTCCTATGTTATCCAGTCATGGAAGATACTTTCTCATTCAGAAAGGATATTCCTATTTAATATTGAGTACCTATGTGAAAACCATTTTCCTTTTATGCATTTTGCTTCATTTATTCAAAACCCTGTCCATACATCCAGGGTTGTCCCAACCCAGGTGCAGAATTTGGGACTTGCCCTTCTCAAACTTCATATGGTTGGTGATTACCCAGACCTCTTAATTTGTCAAGGTCTCTCTGCAGGACCTCTCTGCCTTCAGTGGGGTCAACAGCTCCTCACAACTTAGTTTCATCAGTAAACCTACTTTAAAAGGATCATAGAATATTTTATCCTAACTTCTAATAAAATGAAGTTATGCTATTTTTTGGTAGTATGTTTGTTATCATAGTGACTATAACTTCAGTGCTTCCAAAATGTTTGCTGCACTGTTAAATTTATAACAGTCAGTAAAAATATCCAGTAGATTCAGTTATTTAAAAAACATGGAAGTAGATTTTTTTATTATGTTGATTTCCACCTCCCCACCATCCCCCCTCCCACCCCCGCTTCCCAATTAAAATGTAAAGACTTGATCAGTAGTTTGCAACTTTTTATCCTTCTAGTATTTGCATTTTCACTAAGGGCTCTTTTTCATTAAGCATCCCTGACTTCACTGGAAACAGATATATCTGCAAGTGTTCAACATGACTGAAAATTAGAAGCTTTAAGTGTGCTTTATAAAACTAGTTGAAACCTAAACCCATTGAAAATAAAGTATGTGCTTCTTCTTTTATGCAGTTCTATTCATAGTTTTAGATTTCATGCAGTTCCTGATGTGGACAGTGAGTTACTGATATATGGAACTGCTTTACTCATATCTTGAAGATCCATTTCTGTTCACTACAATAGCTTATGTGCTGGTAACATCACTGGATGACCCCTTTCCTTTAGTTAAGAGGACAAATATTAGTTTAGATCAGGCTTCCCTTGCAGACAGCTAATTAAGCAGAACATGGTACAAGTCTTGTTGCTAAGATAGTGCTCAGGAACGGATACCAGAGGAGCTGAAATGGAAGGCCTCAGGTGGCAGCAAATAGAATTACTTTGGCAGCATCATTGAGCTTTTAGAATACAGTGATGATGCATGACCATTTTCTAGTCAAAGCAGCAGGACAATCTGGAACAGGGCATAACTCATCTCATCAGTGGCTGAAAGGAAATAAAGCACACGTTCAGGACCAAATTTTGCAAAAAAAAAAGCTGTAATTGTATCTGGAAATTTGTTAACATTAACAATCCACTATATATTCCTTTGATTGTGATTAATTAATGGGATTATAGTTCATTTATTGTTTATGCCTGCTTAAATTAGGAGTGGAGTTCCAAATGGCAGTCTTAATAACCACTTCATATGTAAGACAGACTTAACTTGGCAATTATGTTTCAGTTACGGATTTGATTGTTAAATGCATCAATTTAGTCAATTTGATAAATGCATGTATTTTTACCCTAACTGTACCCCCCCAAAAAAGACTGAAATGCAGAAGTATAATTCACAGAAAAAAAGATTAAAACTGGACATTATTTATAAAATGCTTTCAGAACTTAAATTTTAGTAAACATGTATGAGTATTTGTGTATTTAGGTCTTCAGTAGGTCAAAATAATGCAATATTTTGCAGTAATCAAAACTGTAAAAAGAGAGAAGCCTAAAGTCTCTTTGGTTTTATGGCTGCAAATAAGAAGGAAGACCACAGAATTCAGTGGATTTTTTTATATAAGAGTGTAACCACTTTAGATGGAAATTGACTTTGGTATTTCTGTTAAATATGTTGAGTAGAGCTGCAGTTCTTTGGAAGAACAGGAAGGATTATAATGAAAATGATGAATACAGCCTTACTCTTTTTTTTGACAGCATTATACTAAGAGTTTTCAAATATTTCTACATCTAAAATCTATATTTTAGAACTGCTAAGTCAGTAGAAGGAAAAATGGATATTGAATATATTTTAATGGAGTATAAGTTCTCCCCTTCCTGCAAGTTCTCCTCTATTGTACTACTTTCTGAAAAGTTTCATTATCTTGCTCACAGTTGTTAGTGGCCCTGATTGTAAAGATAACTCTCAGAAATCCAAAGCTTAGTAGGCTAAAATAGAGATCAATTTAAGAAAGAAATCAATTAGATATTATGATTAATTATTTGTGAAGCCAGACTATAAGGACAAATTGAATTATAAAAATTATATTAAAATTCATTCTTGCTAAATTCAAGATGCTATTAAAGACATTGTTGAGAGACTTCACTTTTTTTGTAGTTCAAGACTGAGATGAGGTGAGGCAATTCACAGCCAAAATAACACCAGTGATGTATCTTCCAGTTAAAGACTCTGATTTTAAGTGAAAATTATTGGGTTAGTACTAAAAATATGAAGGATTCCGAATCTCATATGGAAATTTAGGACTTCTTGTAGTAAATGGGACCTAATAGTTTGTCTTAAGCAGTGGTCAAGATTGTCTGCTTAGAAGGGACTTATGGAACAACTTAATTTACAAGAAGTCTTTATTCAAAAGAGTCAACAAATCCTGGGATAAAGACAAAGAGGATTTAATGTAATTTTTTTTTCCAATATAACTGAATATCTCATAATTGTACTCTTTAGACCATGTTCTAGTGATGAGTGTTGACACAAATTTGTCCATTTATAAAGCACTGATCATGGAACGCCTTTAATATAATAAAAGCTTTTAATTTGTAATGACTACATTTAATTTGGGGTGATTATTTGGAGATGAAAGGTTTTGTATTAAACTATGCTCGTATTAAATTGTTTTTCCAGTAGAAGAGAAAGTGGGGGGAAGTAGGATCTGTGAACATAACTTTGTCATAAGGTGAGGCTTCTTGAGAACTTTTGCAAGTATCAGGAAGAAATAAGAAACCACACCAAGACAATATACATTGAATGGAATGTGGACATAGGCAGTAATTTACAAAGAAATTAGAAAGATTTGCAAATGTGTTTTCCTTCTTCTCCTTCCTATAGGAAGAGCGGGTAGTGAACCATATAGCAGCAAAGATAATTGAGAATGTTTGTACTACTCGTTCATGCCATGCACAAGGATTTATTACAGGAGAAATTGGACCTGTCTTGTGGTACCTTTTCACACATTCTACAGGAGATTCTTTGAAGATAACTCCTATTTCGGTAAGGAATTTCCTTTTCTGGTAGTGTAATGCTTTGGCCTTTACTCTGAAAAACCTTCTGAATTGGAATTGAAATGTATTTGAGCATGTTTGCAGTAGGTTTGTGTTTTTTATATTTCAGACTACATTAAAACATATTTGAAAAATTTCTGAAATTGAAAAATACGTTTATTACAGTTCAGTGCTTATGAATAATTCTGGTGATTCATCATTTTCCAGAACATATATTTCCTTATGCTGGTAATGAGTTATGTTTAAAAATTTTAACCTTTCAAAGAATCTATTAAATTCTTGCAAAATTGAAATTCTCTTTCTCGATGATGTTTCAAATGAGAATTGTTTATTCTTTTTATCAAAGACTAGTTTAGAAGACTTAGTTGAATTAATCAAATTTCTTTTTACAAAATTGTCAGGGCCTAGTCTTTGCCCTGAATTTTCAAGGCAATATAGAATGAAAGCAAGAGAAATAGAGTGATGACATGCAAGGAGAAGGTTTGGAGCAAAAGGATTTATAAGGTAGAAAATACTTAGCAGGAATGTGAGTTTAACCCAAGAGCGTGTAGTGACAGGACATGGGGGGATGGATTCAAATTAAAAGTAAATAGGTTTAGATTAGATATTGGGAAAAAAGTCTTTATTGTGAGAGTAGTAAGGCATTGGCACAATGTCAGTGTTCCCCAGAAAAGTTGTGGCTGCCCCATTCCCGGACAGTGTTCACAGCCAGGTTGGGTGGAGCTCTTGCTTTCCAGATGGAAAATGGTAGTGTCACAGCTGCAGCAGTATGCACATAGACACATCTAGCATAAAGGTAATAAAAGAGAGAGAAATAAAAATTCATTTGAAGTGTGGCTGAAGAGGTAAGTGGTATAATAAATTTATAATTTAAAAAAATAGATTTATTTATTGATTTTTTGTCTTAGTGTATATATGTGGCAGAGTCTTGCATCCAATATAAACTGCTCAAATATTGGGAAAATGTCTTGACATTTTAGAACAGGAAACCTGTTTAGTAAAATAAAAACCTTTGCTCTGTAGCATCTGAAATTCTTGGCAAAAACTGTCTTAGAACTTTCATGGGTACAGAATAGTCTGTCTCTGAATATGTAAAGTATATGTGTGAGTCTGGCTATTAGGCTGCTTTTTTAGAAAGGGTCTTTTTGAGACTTCACCCGTTTGATCTGTGAGTTTTATGCTTAGATCACAACGGCATGTATGGGAAAAAACTGGAGATAACAGTTATGACTTCCCTTACTTACTGAGTTTTTAAAGTAGCCTGCTCGATCCTCTCTCCTATCACTATTTTTGCTATAAGGGTTGTTTTGTATAATGTACTTTCTATTCTTGCCAATCATTAGACTGGGCAGTTGTCATTTGTTTGCTACTAGATCATAGTTTTGGGGTTTTTTTTTTAATCTCTTTCAACCCATGATGAAAATTTCCTCTTGTTTCTCTGCTGTCTGCTTGGAGAACTTCATGTCGTCATTTACCATTCCCTTGATTCCTACAGCAGACTCCCAGCAGTCTCCCAGGGCCTGCTCCATTTGTAGGGGCCAATTGGCCAGTTATGGCTGCCTTGTGTACCACAGCAAACAGCATATTCTGGAGAACCCGTCTGTCTCAATGGCATGCAGACACTGAGCTGAAAGAGATCACAGGAGGAACTGTCAGTGGGCTTTTTTTTTTTTTTTTTTCCTTTTCCCCTCCTGAAAACTCAATTTCTTCTTGGACAATACGGTATGCTTGAGGTGGGCAGAGCTTTTTTCCCTGCTCAGTAATATGCAGAAGTTACATGTTGGATTGTCAAGAATAAACTTGTCGTCAGTGGAGATTCACTATGGCTTTCTGTAGCTGTGGGCTCAGAGGTTAATGTCATCAATACCACATGGTTTCCTCACCTTGCCCTTGGATGATTATCAAGAGACTATGAGAGGAGTGGGTTGTTGTTTGTCCCTCTGTGTCCTTTGCTTCTTTTGAAAACCCAGGTCACTGGATCCTCCCAGGTTCAGGTGAACCACAAAGAACCATTTTCTTCATCATAGTGTTTATGCTAAGCACTACTGATGAGAAGAGAATTTTCCTGCTGGAAAAACTGGAAAGTTGCAAAAAATGTATAAGAGGAAGGTAAAACCTGAAGACCTTGTTGTAGCCTAGTTTGCTCCCCCTTTTTTTTTCCTTTTTTTCTTTTTTTTTTTTTTTTTTTTTTTTTTTTTTTTTTTCTTTTTTTTTTTCTTTTTGTGTCTATTGATAGCTACCACTATGTACTAGTCCGGTGAGGCTTTATGAATTGCTCAGTGCAGTTGGACAGTGCTGGTGTTTGTGTGATCTCTTCCACGTGAGTAGACTGAAAGTATCACAGATTGCGAGTTCCTCAGTTCCTTCACCTCTGGTTCCTGTAGGTGTGAAAGGTACAGCAGCCTGATTTTTATGGGCTTCTTGTTCATCTAGGTCTGTTAAGTGCAGTGAGTTCTACTGCAATATTTATACTCCAAAGTTGAATCATCTGGCAGTTATGGGTTGACTGTGGGACTTGGAATGACATTGATTTTGCCAAGCTCTTACTTCCTGAATATTTGTCTTGTGTTTGAAATCTTTGTATTATAAAATATATTAGCCTTCAGAAGCTACTCTAGAAGCTGTCTTACAGATGACATCTGTTAGGATGAAGCAGTTTGCTTTAGGAGGTCATGATAGCTGCAATTACCAGAATTTCCTAGAAAAACTCAGCTGATTTTTGGGACATCCTTTCAATAGCAATCGAAAATCTAAGTAAGAAATATGTTTTTTATCATTCTGTTACCTTTTCTTTCTCAAAATTGCTTAGCAATGTGTGCTTGGGTGTTGATGCCAGCATTTTAAAAAGACAAACAAGTTGAGTGTGCACACTGAGATCTGTTTCTTCAACATTTTATGTATATCTGTGGTATAAATGTACATATGGACAATAGAAACAAAACCCTAACTGTTCCAAACTAATGTTTGTTTGCTGTGAAGGCAATAGGCTTACTGGAGATCATACTTTTCCCTTGTGTACTTACTGAAATTTCAGTCATGCTGGAGGTAGGGCTTGTTCCAAATTCACATATTGGAGAGCTTTGATTGAAAGCAGCTATGAGGAGAGTTGCAAGAGTAAGACACGTTTATTGTTTTATTTCCTTGATGAAACTGCTTTCTTCTAGTTTTTCTGGTCTTCATGGAAATTATTGCTATCCATGTAGCTGAATCCATCTCCTTTTTCAGTCAGTTCATTTTGCACAAGTGTTCTTGGGTCTGAATGGGCTCCTGGATTTTCCCCTCCACTGTTTTTGGGGATTGTTTCCTTTATCAGAAGACTGAAGTTTAATACTTTTATATGAAGTGAATTAAACAAGGAACCTTCTAAAGTAGAATGTGCTAAGGTGATACTTTAATCCTTTTGCTGCTTTGTAGTGAAACACTAAGAAGTAGATAAACTTATTAGTCAATGCCTGATATAAATCATGGTCGTGTATTAATGCTGCTGTGGCATTTAGATATATAATCTTAACTTCATCTGATAACAATCAATTGATATTGAAATCTAGTGCAGGAAGATCTTTTCCCAGGTAAAGTTATGGAGTTTTTAGTGGTATGCTAATTTAAAAAATAAAATACTAATATATTCTATTATATGTTATAATGTACTGTATAATTTCTACATTCATTAAACTGTTGCTACAGATTTGTAGGCATTTTTATCCTGTATGACCACAAAAATTTACATCGTCAGTGTCCTATTTCATTTTATTATGCAGTCATTCCTGCCTTATTTGAATGTATCCTGAAGAATTTATTCTTAACTGACATCTATATTAGAATGTAAAAATACATTTCTGTTAAGAAATACATCTGTCATATCTTTACTTGGAGTTAGCAGTCTGTCTGCAAAGTTTATCAGCAGTAAAGGACTATGGAATTCTACTTATGATTATTTCAATCAATAATAAAAATATATCAAGGAGATTCTCTGTCTTTAGTCTCTGGAGTCAAGAAATGACACTTCACTTTGTCCTGCCTATCAGAGGTGGCAAATTCGGATTGTGTCTCAGTATTTTTTTCTCACTTTGGAGTCCAACATGCCTCAGGTAAATATCACAGATTTTGCCTGTAGGAAAGTTGTGTCTTTTTATCATTTTGCTAGACTCAGAAAAAAAAATCTGTAGGATGTCACAGCAATATTCTGACAAGCTCAGCAGCAGGAAGAATATTTCTTTCCAGTATGCTGTAAGTTTTTTAATTTTTTAAAAAATAACTTAAAATTTTGTTTCTAGGAGATAACTTTTTCTGCTGGAAGAGAAGTAACAAAACATAAGCTACTTAAATGGAAACTAATTTGGGAAAGCTCATGCAGTTTTTTTTCGGGGATTTGGTTCCTTTGTTATTTTCTTAAGTAATTGGTATTGAATAGTTTCTTTCAGAGACTTGTGTATTGCAGATACTTTAGTGCACTCATTCTCAAACTTGTGAGTCATGGAAGATATCATGAAGGGGTGAATGTTACCGAGTCACATGTAGCATGTAAGACTAGCAGGATATGGCAGACATGATCATAGAACCCTGGAGTATCTCAAGTTGGAAGTGACCAATAAGAATCGTGAGGCAAAGGTTGGAGCTGCTGAGAGAAGAGGTGACGGTTAAGGCTCCAGCAGAGAGCAGGGGTGGAGAAGCCAGTTCCAGGAGAAGTTCTGTTGAAGCCTTATTCTCACTAAGAACATTTCATGTTCCAAGATTGCTGCCTGGAGATGGTGGTGTGAGCTCTAGTCTTGCATCTATAATCATCCGTTTCCAGTTCCTGCTCCACCACCTTTTGTCCTATCTCCATCTGTTTTCTCCCAATACTGGATCTACTGAACTAATTTAGAGTGCTTTGTACTCTATCCCGCATTTAAATTCTATCTTCTGCTTTTCTGCTGAAGTGTTGGGTTCATTCATTTAGCAGAGCATTCTGTGATGTACAAACTAATGGGAATTTAAAGCTTCTCCCCTTGGCTATTGGTGAGCTGGAGCTTTTCTGCTACCTTCAAAGCTGCAGTATTATACTAGAAGACAGCCTATGATGTCTTTCCTATGAGGTTTGCCTGGAAGTAATCAATGGCCACCTTTGTTTGGCAAGGTTTGTAGCAGAGATCTAAGACAGTGGAAAATCTGTGCATACCAAGTTAGCTCCATGTTGCTTTGGCACAGCCTGTCCCTTGGTCCCAGCGGTTCATTGGTAGTATGACCCTCAAGGGTGTTTTTAGTGAATACACATACCTCCTGCACGCTCATTTTGAAAACTCTGAATAGAGGTGAAGAGCTGGATTGTATCCTGGGGGAAACAGAGCATGCTGTACTAAGGAACTGAGATTGAGTGTCTGTGTTTAAAAAGAGAGTAAAAAAAAAAAAAAAAAAAGAAGAAAAAAAGAAAAAGGCTGCAATCGATGTGGTTCCTGGACCAGAAAGGACAAGGAAGAACAGGAGCAGAGTAGATGAACAGCAACAATAAAATGTCTGTCAAGTTTGTGATTTACTCTCTTTTATGCCTTTTTACTTATTTTTCCTTCTATTTTACTTTGTTTTGAGTAATGTTTCTAAGGGCACTGGTGAACTGGACAGTTTCTGGTGTTCTTATGTGGAAAGCTTTTCTCTGGTGGTAGTATTCTGTGTAATTGACGATAGTTTCTCTTAAATGAGACCTTACTATTGAGTGCACACCAAATAAACAGCAATTTCTTAGTATAGCTGGTCTGAAGAGAGCAAAGATATCATAAATATTGCTTACATTTCACAAAAGGGGGTCACCTTCAAAGATTTTCCTGAATACCAATTCAGATTTTTATCTGAATCCAATATTTGACATAAGCTGTTCTTCTATGCTAGACATAAGCTGTTATTCTATGCTAACAGTATATTCAGGCCAAAGAAAAAGAAATTTTTAATGTTTAAGAAGTCTTATTTTCATTATCTGGAGAGAACAAATGCAGTTACAGTATCTTGAAGGTTGCATTTTTACAGGTATCAAAAGGAGATTGATTTGGAGATGAGGCCATCCTGAAGATTGTTTGGTAATGTTTGCTAGGAAATAGCTAAGTTAGTGGACACTGAACAGGTTTGTGCTCATTTTACTGGAGCATGGTCAGTATCTACATTTTCTATTAAAGTTATTTTAATCACTGATACTTGAAAATCAACCATTTGGAGAATAGTTTGCAAGTTTGTTATACTAATCACTGTTTCCTAATAAGTACCTAGATGTGAAGTAGTATCTAGAGCTAAGGACAGACTTTAGACACTGAAGTACTACATACCTCATTATTGTCTTTGAGAGGGAGAGGGAAGATGCCCACCTTTATGGGTGCCCATAAAGACTGTGCCATGTGCTATGTCTGTATTTTCTCTCCCTGCACTCCTTTCTAGTACAGTGTTATCTGATGCTGTTTATATTCCGTGCTTGACAAAAGACTCAAGCATGGGCTGTGATTCTCCATCATTATTGTTCCATGGAGGAAAAGAGTAATGTGACTTTTTGATGTGGATGTTGCTGTATAAAATATTTGAATTTCAGCTGCACAGAGTGTATAGCAAGGCATTTAGAAGAATTCTATGTCTTTAAAAATAAGTGATCTTTTCCCCTAATATTTGTCTTAAAAATGAATCTGTATGCATTCCATATATTCCTAAACTATTGGAAAACTCACTACATGCTTTTATTTTCCAGTATTTTTCTTGAGATAATAGTTTCATTAATTTTTTTTTCACTTTTGTAGGCTTTGTGCAGAATTACTCGTTCCTCACCTAATGCTTTCCAGAGTGTCATTGAAAAAGTGGGATTAACAGCTATACTAAATTCCTTGGCAAATGGAATATGCAAAATTCAGCAGTACATGCTCACGATGTTTTCAGCAATGTTGTCATGTGGGATTCATCTGCAGAGGCTGATTCAAGAAAAGGTTTGACTTCAGATTAATATTTCACTGGCATGGAATTTAATGAAAGGAAAAGTTAAAATTGACACTGCGAGTGGTTTTGGGTTTTCAAAATATGTCTCAGTGACATTTGCATATCTAAATAGCAGGAAATGAGGAATGTGTTTCATTTATATTTCTATTTGTTTAAAATCTAAATGATAAGGTGTATAGTTTTTCTTTCTTTCATGAATCTTTGAGAAATTGTACTAATAGGTGTATAAATTGTTCCTGCAGCTAGGATTCAATCAATCCAGACTACCCTACCCTGACCATAACTGATAATGGGCCCTAAGGAAAATCAGTAGTGAATCAGTAAAGACAGCTATTTGACATAGATCTCTTAGACATTTAAAAGAGAAAATAAGGAGTGTCCTGATTAAATCTGAAACTGTACTTTGTGCTCTCCTTAAAGGTCCTTAAGTCAATTTGTAAGTGAAATATATTGCAGAAATTAGCATTTTAATACCTTAGATATCTTTTCCTTATTAGTGTCACTGAATAAAACAACTGGTTTTGGTTTATGTGTAATATAATTTTTGGTAGAAGTGGTTAAAAGTTTTCTGTCTTGATTCCCAAACTATTTTGTATTTAGAGAAAAAGTGTTTCTTTTTTGGCAGTGTATCTGCATAGTTCATAAATTAAAGTAATAATCTCCCTCTATTTGGAAAGGATAAAAACCACAAAGAAAGAAAGAGCTATAGTTCTGTTTTCCTCAGATACTCTATTGTAATGTATGTTGTAATCTGACAATCATCTTGATGATAATAATCTGTTGGGCATTAGTTGAGAGAGTTTTATTTCCCTACGTATTGTTTTAACAATTACATTTAAGTTAAAACATAATCCCACCCATGTGGCCTGAAATCACTCATTCTTTTCCTAAAATTAATTTCTGTACCATGTCAGAATTGCCAGTGTGTTTTTGTGAGTGCATGTCAGCTGGCCTTAAACTTTCCAGATCCCACAACAACAGCGCTAATAGGTGGCAAATTGTCCTGTAATGCTGCACTAACAGTGCACATTACTGTGAGTTGATGGTATAGTCAGAGGAGCATGGTCAAAAATCATTCACTTGAACATTCAACAAAAGAATGCAATGTGCAGCTAGCCTATGGCTACAGCATGATATTTTCTGTGAAAAATTTCTTCTTTATATAGGACTTACATTACTAAAAGAACTCCCATACTGATACTGAATTTCTTACGGACAATGGCTAGAATTCCCTTTCTGATACTGCAGTTCTTATGAGCAATTCTAATAAAATTTTACAGATTAGAAAATTGAAATACAGACAAATGTAGTCATTCTTTTAATAGCATATATCAAACTAATGATAGAAGTGTGAATAGTGCCCAAAGGTGTAAGTAAAAAACACTGTACTATAAAAACTGATAAAGTAGGTCTGGTTCTACTGCATGTGTCCACATTTGGTAACTGTACCTGCATTATAGCTGAGAAAAACTTAAATCTCATAGAATGTTTTTTTGTTTTTTTTTTAATTGAGATTAGCTCAGTTGGTTAGAGCCTGGTGGTAATAACACCCAGGTTGTTGGTTCGATTCCTGTGTGAGCCATTCACTTAGGAGTTGGACTTCATGTTCGTTTCCAACTCAGAATGTTCTGTGATCTGGAAATTAGATTGTAGGATTTTGGAAGCTGAAGCTAAATTTCCGTTTTTCTTGAATAGAATCTAAAAATGCAAACATGCTCCTGTATTGAACTGCCAGGTGCTATCACATCACCTGGAGTGATATTATTTTAGCTCTGAAAAATCAAATTTAATAGTCCATGAACTTTTCAATATTTCATGCTCATGGAGGCCAAGTCCATCTTAATGAGAGAAGGGAAGAGTGAGTAGTGTTGGCCTACAGATTATTTTGCGTTCCGTAAAATTTTTGTGTAGCTCAGCTTAAGAGGCAGAAGGACCTCAGTATCACACAGAAGGTAGTGACAAAGAAGTGACTCTGTTTAATATAGGCACAAGCAACATATTGAAAGATACTTAAAGATATAAATTCAAGATGGAGATAATTTATCTTTGTGTATGTTATCTAGAAGCACCCTTAGGTTCTAAGAATTAGGACTGCCCTTGTTTTCTTCAGTCTTCAAGAACAGTAGTAAAAAACAGTAGGTACAAAACAAAAGCCAGAAATGCAGTTCTGTGATCATCTACACTAATATAAAACTTCAGAGAACTACAATAGCCAGAAGGGACTGGGTTTTGTCCCTCTCTGATACAGAGACTTTTAGTTTCCTGTTTTGGAAACAAAATAGTTGAAATTATGTTTTTAAAAGAAAACATGGAAAAAGAACTCAAATGCAAGAATCTTGGATACATTATAGCAGTAGATTAAAAAATCCCCACTGCTAATTTTTTTCATCTGGCTGTCAAGATTCACCTTTGAATTAGTGAAAATCAGTCACAGCTTTTTGAATGCAATTAGGTCTTCCAAAGGTCAGATAATGTGGCAGGGTGTTTTTTAATTTGGTTTCTTTCTTCCTCAACTAGTCGTAAGTAAAATCATTCAAATACTTACAGCAATATATTGTCACAACTGCATTGTAAATGCATTATAAGCATTGTCCTCATATTTCAGTAATGGTTTTCAATTCATTGTCTTTTACCTGGATGTGGACAAGTAATTACCACTGTAGATGATAGTTTTGTCAATATCACTAAGAATGAATAAAAAGATAAAAATATCTTTAACAAAATCTTTGTAACTCTAAACTTATATTACGCAGATATTTGCAAACCATAGAAGGGAAATTTGAAAATACATAACGATCTAACAAATGTTTGCTATTTTAATTTCTGTTCTTGTGTAGTGAGATAGTGGTCTAGCTGTTTTCCTCTTGTGTAGCCAATTCAAAAACATCATTGCTTTTGTTTTAAACTTGCTTTGCAGTATTACTCTGTATCCAATATAAAGCCATAATCTTGTTGCAGTGTGTTCACTTGAAATGAAAAGAGTATCCTAACCTGCAGAGTCTCCATGGATACATCAAACATTTGCAGGGGAAGGAGGAAATATAGAACAGAGAAATTATAAATAATGTATTTGGCAGTATTTGAGTGATTTTTGGCTTTTCTGATACACTTAAGTCCTGCAGGTCAGCAAAGATGTGCTTGAGATTTTCTTTGGATAAACTTTTGCAGTTTTGCAGTCCTCAAACCAGCCAGAAAAGCAAATTCAAACAGGTCACATTTATTTCTTAAACCAGATTATTAGAACATTCCCAGATAAGTCTGATGTAACTAATTTTAATTGTCTTAACCCATGTTAACCCCCACATGTAGCATTGAGATATTCTTGCTTTCCAGAGTATGAGGACTAAAAATAGATGTGCTTTGGCTTGTAATTGCATGTGTCTTTGTCGTGGTGTCCTTGTGCATGGTCTATCAAGTCCATTTATTCTTGGACAGTGTTGCATTATATAAACTCTTTGACTATGTCTGAGGTTTTATGGGATTTCTGAATATAAAAACTTTGTTGTTGCTGTTACTTTGTTTTTTTAACTAAAAAAAAAAACCTTGAAAAACCAAAACATAATTAAAATTCAACCTTTGCATTTATTAGATTGTAATTTAAGAACTTGACTGCTGTAAGTTCATACTGGAGGAGCTACAAGTCATGGTCTGTGAGCTGTTGAAGTGTTTAAAGCCATAAACTTTTAAATCCCTGAGAAATTCTTCTCTTTCTGAAATAAGTTATTGAAGTGCAGCAGGACAGTTCTAGAATAATTAATAGCATTTTTTTTCTGGGATTTCTGTATGATGACTGGTTTTGAAGACAGGGTTAAAAGTGGTGTCAGAATAAAATCTGATGGTTTCTTGGCCAACTCTTATAGTCCTGCTCTTTTTCCATTTTTAGTAAAGATGTATAGTTAATTATTGCCAAGAATGTCTCTAAGAAATTACAGTCAGTGTTGATTTGCAGTTATTCTGTCAGAAAATGAGGAATTTGAACAGCAATATGTATGTTAAATGTGCATCACACAGCGGGATTTTTAACTTTGTACATAACATGCATACACTACTCATGTATCCTGTAGTGTCACTCCCTTGAGAATCCAGTGCAACTCTTTGAAGGCAGGTTCTATTGATTTGTGCTCAGTCTAATTTTTGCATAGAGTCAGTTGACACAGTTTTTAAATTCCAGTTTAGTTTTTAGTTCTGATTTTGTTTGTCCTTCTTTCTTTTCAAGTCCTAATTTTATTTCTTCCTTGAAAAGATTTTGTTCACTTTCTGAACCCAAAATAAGACTAGATTAGATAAGAACAATCAGAGAAGGTGGAAACAATTTTACCATCTATTTGGAACATCTGGTATAAAATTTGGTATCTGATGTAGATAAGATTTTATCTAACTAAGGTGTAGTTTTTAATATTCCCGCATATAAGGGAATGAATAGCTAAAAAAATTAATAATTTGTGCTTAAATACATATGTATTCTGAAAATAGTTTAGCTTTGTTTTAAAATAAATGTATTAAAATATCCTATGTTTATGCTTATGGTAAGCCCTTTAAAAATATAAATTTTATAACATTTCATAATTGATTTCATACTATTTTGGATGTAGTACATTAAATAGTATTTAATTTTACTTTACCACTTGTGAAGATGTTCAAAGCAGCTTAGCACTGAGCCAGTCAGTCTTGAACAGAATTTGTTTGTTAGTGTTTTATGGATTTTTTTTGCTATGAGTGACGTGAAAATGAGCAAACTTTTAAGTGTATACAGTCTTACAATAGAGTGCAAGTAACTTTAATGTCTTTGTGTTTATTTCCACCAAGGATTTTGTGACTACAATTACTCGTCTACTTGAAAGTCCTTCAACTTTTATTCGAGCAAAAGCCTTTCTGGTCTTGCTACAAGTTTTAATTAATAACAGGGAGATGTTGCTCCTCAGTTGTCAAACACGGTAAGGTGATCATGGAAGATAATCAAAGATATAGTCTTTAAAGTTATACCTGAAATACTTGAAAATGTGTGGTATTTTTGACCCAGTGTTTTAGAATTTAATTGTTTTGTGTGTAATAGTAATCTTTTTATTCATGAGATTATTTTGTCTGGGATCATCAGGTGACAGTTATTCACAAGGGGAATCCACTGTCTTGCAAGGAGAACATCTTTTAAAGTAACTCATGGTCCCAGTGAGCATTTGCATTTTTGTGTGGGGCAAAAGATATACTGCAACAGTGAGTTGTTGGTATGGTGGGAAAGCAAAATAAAAAGTTCTGCTATGTACCTTCTTCATCTTGGGGTTTGGTATAGTCCATAATCTCTTCTAGATAGTGACTTTCAAGGTAAAATAATATTTTTAGCTATATGTGGTGTGGGAGTGATTTACATAATGACCAATAAATTCCTGTGACTTTTACAAGAAATATTTAATTCTGCCATGTTTTAGAACACTTTTCCATAAATTACTGAATCACCAGGGAACTGTTATTTGAAATTTTTTGTCTTATGTTGGGACAGAAGCGTTCCTGTATCAAAGGGGAGCAAATTAAAATATGAATTGTCACCATGTTTCGAGGTGATTGGAGAAGTAGGATTAAAGAAATTTTAGTTGGGATTTATATCTTCCACTGTTCTGTAAGAAGAAGAGTGAAATGAAGTGTAAATGTAGTTTTTACAATATTGAAATAGAGCAGGTTTGGAACTGAAAGTAAAAAAGGATGAAGCTTGTGGGTAGCTGTAAATCTAACTATATCTACAGCACATATAACATTATATCTTATATTCATGTTTGAGAAGAATTAGGATGTATACATTAGGGTTAAAGGAAGAGGCAGATGAGTTACACCATGAAGCCACTGTGAGAGAACACCTTGTGGGGTGATAGCATTATATATCTCTTTCTCCACTTGCAAAGCTGTAGGTATCCCAGTATTTGTAGAATCATGGAGAATAAGTACAGAATCCAAGGGCCTTTTAATGTGTACCTTTTTACACTTCCAGAAATGTTCTATCTGATTATGTGTTCTGGTTAGTGAAAAATGCCCCTAACGATTTGTAAGTGACTTTTTGAATGGCTACATTTTTAGTAACTCCTGCTATTCATGTGCCTGATATACCACATAGGACTCTCCTGTGTGTTTGGAGAAAGGTCTGACAGATATCCTGCACAGACAGTTACTGCTTGTTTATATATATACACCTAAGATATTGTGTGAAGGAGAATAATAATAATATAATCAATAATTTACTTGATTTATAATGCTTTCCAACCAGCTGTCTTTTTGATGAGAATGTGTTGTGAATTTGGAATATGATTTTGTATTATGACTTTTGGCTTTATCCTGCTGTTTTATTGTCATGCTCCAGACAGGGCTAATTAGAGACCAATACATAATGTAACACATTAGGTAAAACAATAGGCAAGCCTTATAGCAGCTTTATTGAGCTGATAAACTGTTTTTCTTCATTTACTGAGTTTTCTTTATAATTTTTTTAGTGAACAGCATATCTCTTATCAGAATAGATAATTTAAAACCTTTCTCTTACATCCAGAAGATAAGATAGCTACAGAGAGGAGAAGTGACCTATTAAATCTGGGGACAGTTGCATGCATAATATCACTGTATAACTCTGGAATAATCTTAAACACAGCAGAGATACTGGATACTCATTGACTTATAGTATGGAATTTAGTTAGATGTCTTCAGCTATCTGACAGAAAAGTTTCTTCAAAATTAAGACTCAAAAATTCTAAATTGCTAGCACAGGAAGCAAAAATCAGTTGGATAACTATTGAAAATATTTGATACACGTAACTTCTCCTTCTGGAGATGTTTGATTTGAGAAATATAAAGAGCCTATAGTAAAATGTACATAATTCCTGGTTAAGAGTTTGTCTTCAGCAGCTACAGCTAAAACCTGTAATGGGATTTATATTGCTTTAGATGATAAAATCTGTTTATGATAATTATAATCAATATAAGGCAATTTTTCAGTGTGCATCACTTAAAGGATGATGCAGATAAAACAATAATAACTGTTTCATGGCAACACTGCACTGAAAAATGCTTTTATTTACTTTGGTAATTATGCTGGTTTTGGCTGAGTTAGTGTTAATTTTCTTTATGGCAACTACTATGAGGCTGTTTGTGCTAAAAACAGCCCCCAGGGCCTCATGAGCGTGGGGACTGCCTCGGGGCCAGCATCCCAAAGGTCTTTCTCTGGAAAGCAGTTTTTCCTTTATTTGGCAGCAAAGTTGGGGCAGTGTTTGGAGTGCAAGTCTTATGAGGAGGAGCTGAGAGAACTGAGGTTGTTTAGCCCGGAGGAAAGAAGGCTCAGGGGTGACCTTATCACTCTTTGTAACCATCTGAAAGGAGGCTGCAGCTAGGCAGGGGTTGGTCTTTTTTTTCCCAAGTAATGAGTGATAGGACAAGAGGAAATGGTCTTAAATTGTGCCATTGGAGATTTGATATCAAGAAAAATTTTTTCACTGATAATTCAGGCAATAAAATTCTGTTCCCACCAGTAGCCTTTGTGATATCTGTCCTTGGAAGGGTTTTGGAGCTGAAAAAGCTGTGCCATGTGAGGAAAATAATAGTTTAATCTGTTTTCATTCATCTTGTTGGATGGAAAGGGCATGGGACAGGGAAAAGAGGGGAGAGAAGGAAAAATGGAAGGAGGAGTAGGGAAAGAGGAAGTGGAAGGGAGGGGTAATGGCAAGCTTATTTTAGCTCTGATGGGTTTACCAAAATGGATTTCCTTGTGTTTTTCTTCTAGTTTGTGCACAGGTACCAGGAAATAAAAGGCAGTAGAAGTAGGCACTTGCTGAAACCCCTTATTATTGCAAGCAATAATGATGCCTCAGGGCTGGGAACTTGAGAAGTATCCAGTGTTGCAAGTCTTAATTCCTGGAATGCAATCTTAAGACAACCTGCCTATTTGTTTTTAATGTTTACAGTCTATTGGTTTTGGCCATGATACCAGCAGTTGCTATTCACCTTTGGAGTATTTGTACACAGAGTCCCCCATGCACGTCCCTGTAATGCCTGTTGATTAGTTGAATTTACACAATCTGGTTGCAAGTTTCTTTTTGCACCTCTTTTCAAAAGTCTCTACTTACTCAAAGACTAAGGAAACACCTTTATAATTCCAAATAAGAGTGGAGAAACAGCTGATCCCAACTGATCAAAGGGATATTGCATACCACGTGGCCTCATTGGGGAAAGAAGAAAGGAATGGCAGGGAAGACGTTAGGAGTGATGGCACTTGTCTTCCCAAGTAACCATTACATGTGACGGAGCCCTTTGTTCCGGGAGATGGCTGAATACCTGTCTGCCTATGGGAAGTGGTGAATGAATTCCTTGTTTTGCTTTGCTTGTGCTGATTTTTTAGTTCTGTGGATGAAAAGTATTGATATATAATAAGAAATGTAATTTTGAAGTGAATTCATTGTTCCACAACATTGAGACAATTCACCTGTTACTCTTTTTCCCTACCTGTTCCGTGGTAGGTAATTACAGTTCTTCCACATGTGATACAGCTAGAGAAGATACGAGTTCCTTTAGGCTGAAGTAGCACTTGTTTATTTACACTGTGAAAATTAATTTATTTTGCTAATCACACTGAGTTTTCTAGTCTCCTTCATTTCTCCTTGATTTGCAGAGGCATTCTACCTATTCTTCAGGGAAGGGACACCCTGAAGTTTTATTGAGGCTTTTCATTTCGCCCTTTTCAGAGCTAGCAGTAATTTCTGATTAGTCTCATTGAATTGTTATTTTTGTATCTAGGTGGTTTCAGAGAATTTCCTAGGTAACAGAGCACTTGGAGATTGAACTTCTCCTCCCAAAAGAATTTATTCAAACCTCTTGTTTTCTACTGTCTGCAGAGATGGACCCTTGTGGAAGTGTCCATCATCCACAGGGTGGTATTCCCGACACATTTCACTCTGCAGAAATGTAACCATGCACAATGGCATAACCTCTGAGCAAATCTTTCTCTGTTTTCTGAGGCCACCTCCCATATTTATTAAATTTTCAAATCTTATATGTGCCCTGAAAGGAAAAGCTTTGCCTGGAAACCTACTACAGTCTCACATCTAGCATAGCATGTTTGCTTTATATGTCTTAAGACTGATCTAGAAAAGTAGTGAGGAAAAGAACTGAAAAGCTTGGTGCTCAGTCAGATGGGGAAACATGGAAATGGAAGGCAGGAAGGAACAATGATGTAAGTCAGTGATTTCAGGAAAAAAACCCCGGCAAGCTGGTATCAAATTAAAAAATAGAAAAAAGTGATGGAAGGCAAGAAATAGAGATCAACCCACCTGTTAGCATGGTATGCCATCTGATGTTACATCTCTGTAAAATAAACACTATATCTACATTAAAAATGCCTTTAATTAAATTAAATGCTTTAATTTAAAGCCTTTAAAAATCTTCCTAATTTTCTTTTAGCAGATATTGACTAATAACAATAATAAATAAAAATAAAACTAACAAATAGTCCTTGAGTTCTTGGGGTAAATGGACTGTATATGTCCTCAGAGTATGCATGACCTTCTTTAGTTTCATGAAGGTCTGTCATTCTCTGTGAACTTTAGTCTCTTTTCTTCATATTGATCATCCTGTTAAGAAAAGAGCTCTTATTCTTTTAAGTAGTAGACCTCATTCCCCTTCCTGTTACTCCAGACTGTTAACTCTGGAATTTTCCCTTTTTTGCTCCATTCTTTCACATTTTTTTTGCAGAAAACTTGGGTTGTTTTGCTTTTTTAGTGTAAAAGCTCACTTATGGCCGTATCTTACAGACACTTGAACTTATTTTTTTTTAAACCAAACCTTTGCTTCATAGACAGTGGTTTACTCCTCATCATATTTAGCTTATTTATACTGACATCTACATATTTTATCATTGTTGAGTGCAAGACAAATGTGCCACTAAATGAATTGAATAAATGTATTTCTATAGGCCTGGTTTTGCCCGCTAGAGAGAGCACTGAGATTCATCAGGGAGTAAAAGTAACTGATGAATTGTTCTACATATGACTGAGGAATTTGTCAAAGGAAAATAGAGATGCTAATGCTTTACTGCCTACAGAATTTATATATGTACAGTTTTCTTGAGACAATGTTTACTTGAACCAAAATATCAGGGAAAAAATAGTTGTGCATATTTTTAGAAAATCTATGTGAAAGACAATTTTGTGAATGGAAGGGCAACATAAAGGAGAGAACTCATTTATCTTTCCTTTCTCAGAATAAATAAACCTACTTTGTATCCTTCTCAAATGTGATTAAGTAATAGAACATACTTTTATAAAAGAAAAGAACCTCTTTCACCCAAAGAAATAAAATCACTCATGTTGAAGTCTATTGGGCCCATTTTAAGTAGAACTCAAGCAGATGTAAGTGTATTTCCATATATAATCAGATGATTGTTAAATCATGGAAGTGTTTTCTTTAAAAAAAATTAATTCAAGCTCTGATTTTTTGTCATTTTTTTAAAGTTAAATATTTTTGGAATAGAAATTACTTGGTTGTCTGAAAAGGCTAGAAGTCCATTTTATTTAAAACATTCAAATTTTTATATTAAAAAGTGTAAAGCTTATAAAAGTAAAATTCTATTTGTAGCACAGCATCAGATTTTTAAGTAGTTCTTTTCTAATAGACAAATCAAAATTCCTGTAAAATAATGCAATTTCCAGTCATTACAAGAACTAAAGATGTCCTCATGGTCTCTGAGAAGTGCAGCTGAATGTGTTGCATCTGGGCTGTTGCACAAGTGAAAAGTAGTTACTCACTGGGTCTTTTGATTTCTCTTTGTCTCTGTAGAATAGGTTAGGAAGGATAAGGGTGCAGTATTCAATCATAATAATGTGTTTTTTAGAGACATAATCCTGTAAAATATATTCTTAGGTAGTTTTTACTTTGTTGGCTGTATAATCTTTTTGATAGAAAGATGTATTTCCTAGTAGCCTTGTTATGAACACTTGAGGTAAATAAGTAATTTTTGTAGTTCTGTAAAAGAGCATTCTTTATCAGAAGGGTATTTAAAAAGATAGTAGTGAAGTACATGCTTAAAATCCAGATCATGGATTTCCCTCTCCAGTGATTGATGGTTCTTTGCACAGGACCCGGAGGGAGTTCGAATGTGAAACAAAGATGTCAATAGTATGGCCCTAAAGGGAAGTCTGGCCCTTCTGTCTATTCAAATAAGCATTTTAAAATTTTGCCTGAAGCATTCTGTTACAGGTGTATTATTAAAGCAGTGTCTTGTAAGTTAGCCAGTGGCTAATAAATCAGTTACCATTTCATTGTGAGAAATGTCATTCTTCAGAATGGCACAACCACAGAGTACTTACCAGTTGGAATGCATGCACTGAGTTTGTATTTAGAAATCATGAGCACCAGATTTCTAGAGAAGGGATGTAAGACTAGTTTGGGCTTTTATCTCTTTCAATATGGCTATTCCAACTAGTGCTTACATTTTAATAGGCTGCAGTGTGATCTATGTAGTATGTTTTTTCTGGACTGAAAGATTGATCTCTTGTTATGTTGACTTTAATTATGCTTGCTTTTGAAATTCTTATGGGTTGAAAATTAGTCTTTCACTTATATTGCACATATTGATTACCTATTTCAAAATAAAGTGGATTGTAAAATTAGTCTCTCTCTAAGTTTGCAGAAAGATTCACTCCTTATGTTAACATCATGTATTCATTTAAACTAGTTGAGTTGTGCTTATTAAAGTAGCTTAAGGGTTTCTTTCCTTGACTCAGTTATTTGTGTTGGTTTTAGAGTTGGTTAAAAGAAAAGTCTAAAATTTCAACAAAATTACAGAGCCAAAACTAATGTATCATCTTCTTTGTAACCACGGATACCAGAAATGTCTGGTTCAATAGTTTTTTTGAGATATAGTGTTATTTTCTTTGGTATGAGAGTTAATGTTTTGCACTTGTTTAAATGTAGACTCATGATGTATATTGAAAGAGACAGCAGAAAGACCATGCCAGGAAAAGAGCAGCAAGGTGGCAGTGAATACCTGTCAAAATGCCTGGATCTTCTCATCTATCACATTGTGCAGGAGCTGCCAGGAATTCTAGGTAAATTCAGGTTGTTAACCAAACAGATCTTACCTTTGCTTACTCTGTCAAGAAACAGGTATCTCCTTATATATGCAGGTGGAAAGACTGTATTTTCTGAATGCATAAAGTTGGCATGATATCAGCTTCCTGAAGTATTTTAGATATGTCATGATCAGATACTTTGTATTGGAATGTGTGATTTCCTGTATGAATGTTTTGTGTTTGTGGAATGGTAAGCCTCACCAGCTCAGTCAGGAATGGAGCCCAGAGGTACAAGAAGTCTTATCAATGTTCAAAAGATACTGTAAAATCTATTTTACAATCTAAGAGCAAATTTGCCCCATAAAGCAGAGGCCTGGGAGAGATGCAACAGGACATATCTCTGAGTACATGTTAGTCGCTTACGCTGAAATTTATATATTGACTATTTGCTACAGGCAATATTTCTGGAAAATTTCAGCTTAAATACTTCAGTTGTTTTAGATGCCTGAAACTGATTTGCTCATGCACACAAGGTTTATTTTCATAAAATTATTTTCTGATGAGATGATACCTGATGTATTTTTCATCTTTTCTACATTATCACTAGGATATTGAAAATGTAATGGTAGCACTGCAAAGGTTAGTAGACCTAAATGTCATGCTGCTATTTTAAAAGAAACTTTACTTCCTTTGCTAATGCAAATTTTTGCCTTGCTGCAAACACCTGATCCCTTTTTTCCTAACTAAATATCAGGTTTGCATATTGACTGTATTTCAGGATGGAAGTCTCACACTATAAATGTTTGAAGCACCCATTTACCTCTTATTGTTTATATATACTATATGCAACTGATGTAGTAGACTCTGATGTTTCCTCAGAGTCTGAAAGTTTCAAATACATAGTTACTATCATGATACATAGTACATCAATTGCTTAGACATGTAATTACTACTGATTTACAATTGGAATACATTTTTGAGAACTGATATCAAGCATAATTTCTACACTTTGTTTTCTTTTCCAAGCTGGATCTGTGTGTTGATTGTTTTCTGTAACCTGAAGTTCCCTCTCTGTATTTCTCCATATTTGTCAGAAGTCTTTTTCTTTTCATTGATGTATGATGAAGGAGCATGTACTGCTCGAGGTGGTGAAAGCTGTGGGCACCTAAGAATAATAATCAGATTTGAAAATTGGGACAGTGAAAAGCAGTTTAGCTGTTAATTTAAATTAATCCTACCTGGCTTTTTTAATATGCATTCATGTAAGCTCCTTACTGATGCCATCTTCTTCCACCAGATGTAGCTATAAACCAAATAGATTAACAAGTTGTAGAAATTGACCTTAAAGATACATTTGAACAAAAGAAATAAATTGTTAATCTTCTGGTTAATTTAAAAATTTTTGGTTGTTGTAAATAAGAAAGAATTTTATTTCTGCATTTATAATATTTTACCTATTTTTAGGAAGTAGATATAAATTGTTTAGATCATGCTAAAATTAAAGATAGCATATCTATCTATTTATGAAATGCAAAATTGCCAGATGTGATGGTTATGTATTCTTTAAAATATAGAAAGAGAAATTGTTCACTAAATCAGTTACTAAACAAAGATAGTGTGTAATTCAAAACAAAAGGTATTAATGAAAAACGTTTTGTGTTTTATGTATTTGAAGAGTTTTAAGCAACACTTTCTTTTTTTTACCAGGGAATGAGTCAAATCTTTAAGGCTTGCTTTAGTGCCAGGCTCTGTCATTTCTGCTTATATTGAAAACTGAACTCCATGGGAACAGAATAAAAGCATTGATATTATTCAACATGATTAAATTCTGACTTACTGCGAAAGGAAAGGCCTTTTCTGGCCTGAAAACTCAAATATGGAGTCCCATTCTTTATTTGCTTAGCATATATGTGAATACCCTTTTACAGTTTCAAGCAGCTATCTTTTTAGGGGAAAAAAATATAACAGGTGGTCTTTTGAGACAGCATTGGTATTTTCAGGTTATAGGGACAGAATTTTCCTTCTTTTTATATGAGCTAACTTTTCTCATGCTGCTTCTGTTCTTTATTCCATGCAGAAGAGGTCTTGCTTTTTTGTAAATAATAGGAAGCGTACCACAAAGTTAGCATAATGTTCCTTGATTTTTATATGTCTCTTCTGAGTCTGAAGCATAATTTTCACTATTGCCATTAAAATTTTGTTAGCTTATATCTGAGGTTTGTAATGGAGGCCCCTAAGTTCTCTCATTGATCTGTTGCTATCTCTTTTATAAGAATTCCTGTAGATACAGGTCACTTGTGTCACAGTTGAATCAGTGCATGAGAACGTGTGTGTGCATGGCTGGTAGAAGGATCTCTTTTCTTGGTGGAGAAGGATGTTTGGGGTTTTTCTTCCTGCTGAACTGTGCTGCAGGGGAAACAGCTGCTTCAGCATTATGTCACCCACTAATCTTAGTTCGTTCAGTTCTTGGTTAACTGAAAGCTGTGAGAATTTCACTTTTACTTCACTGAAAATAGAACTTCATCCACATAATTTAGCCAGTATAAGTCCTCTCTGCCAAGAAGGGGTAATTCTATCTTTACCTCAACAGTCATCTTATACTTCTATCCTCACTGTTTTGCCAGAGATGACCTCTGCCTGTCCCTGTAGCCAGAGTAGGGAATTAATCTGGTTGAAGACAGAGCTAGGAAAGAAGTGCTGGGTTCATCATGAACACTACTTCTGGCAGACAGAGAAGACAGGAGTGAACAGAGGCTACTGGAATAGAGATGTTTTATATGTCATTTGCTGTTTAGTGATGTTTTTATGTTGGATCAGCCTGAAATGCTGTTTTCTGTAGGTGACATTCTCAGTGCCCTAGCTAATGTCTCTGGACGTAAACACCCATCAACAGTTCAGGCCAAACAGCTGAAGATGTGCCTTCCTATGATGCCTGTAGTGCTTCATCTTGTGACATCCCAGGTAGATTCTTTTTCCCCCAAGATTTGTTACACAGAGGACAAACTCTTACAGTTTCCCAAAATCTGATTTCTGACAATAATGATCAGAATGAGTAAAATAGAAGTTTTGTTAATGCATAGATATGTTGATGAGTATTCCAGCTATGGAGCAGCATTTGATAAATGTGCATTCTGTAACAATGGTAATGACAGAAACACATGCATATTTTGTCCTCTTTTTTTGTTTTTCTTAACATGTGAAACAATTTTTTACTTTTTCTGGTCATAAGATGTGCATTTAATGTAATTTTTTTCTTTGGCTAATTTCAAATAGGTGTTTCGTCCCCAGATAGTCACAAAGGAGTTTCTTTTCAACTATGGCATCTTAGTTGTGAGTATAAAATACACGATAAATATTTTTACAAGACATACCTATGCATAAAATTTTGGAAGTTACTTTAATGAAATAAAATTAAATTTCTAAATTGGAGAGAGAAGTTTATTCTGAATGTATATTTTAAACTTTGGTTGTATTCAAAACTTTCTATATAATCAGAAAATATTTTCTGCAGTAATCTATTTATTCAAAGTGAAATTCTGTACATATTTGATAAACTGAGAATTTCCTGTGTGCTTTATTTCTGAATAGCAAAGTTTAGTTCTAAATTACATAGAATATTTTCTCTGGAATTTCCTACTAGTATTTTATGAGTAGAAATAAAAGAGAAATTATCATTTATCTATATTTAAGGTATTGTTTCTTCTTGTCACCTTTTATTTCTTGTCAGTACTTCTAAACTGTGTTTAGCTTATGGAAATCTATGGAGCTAAGATACTGAACTCATGTTGACATTTACAACCTGTTTCTGACATTACCCATAGAAAACAAACTTTTTAGCTGTGCCGTTGGATAGTACAGGGGAAATGGAGTAGTACGGTTCTAACATAATTTCCTCATATGAAAACAATTGTTTATGCTAAATGAGAAAAAAAGGGATATTCTAAATTGCATATCAGAGTTAAGCAAATACTTTTAAGTGCATGAGTTCATAAATGACAGCTAGGTATTTATCTCCAAATAGCATGAAGAAATGGTTTTCTACAAACAATTAGATTCAAGTTATGTGTTCATATTCACTTCTCTATCTCCTTTGACTCTTTGTTCCAAGAAAATGGAGTTTTAATTTAGCTCTACTAAAATATTTGTGTAAAAATTAGCATTAGAATGATGAAAAAAATTTGAAACTGTGGATGTTGAATTACAAAGCCCTTTCTCCCTTTGAAGCATTTCTAACTAGGCAGTAGATTTATTAGTAGTTTTCAATCAACCTTCTAGAAGGTGAAATTCTTCTGTCAACAGTATAGGTACAATGAAAGTTTTCTTTTGATGTTACTCCAGGTTGTTTGAACTACTGACTGAGGAAGTCAGGCTAGTTATAATAGCACAGCTTTCCTCTGAAATCAAGGAGGAGCGCTTTACTCAATGTATCCTACGTTTTGTCCTGTCTCCATTGAAAAAGGCAATTCAGGAACTTACATACACTGTTTAAATTTACAGATGAAGAATGGAGGGACAGTAGTATATCCGAAAAATTAATAAAAAATTTTAACCATTTTATGTAACTGTGTTATGATATAACTAATATAATTACATCTGGAAGGGTAACTATCCATTCTATCAGGCAACAATCTACTCTGGAAATTTGAGTTTAGCAACATTCCCACTGACACCTATAAAGGGACATTCAATCATCACCCTGTACTTTTTCAAAATACTGTGCTATAACTAAGGCCCCTAAGACTTTAGCAAGGCAGTCTTTTTGTTTTGTTCTTTTTTTCCTGATTTATTCAATAGTCTTGTTCTTAACAGTAAGAAATTATGCGGAGTGGAAAGATGTGTGCTTGGGATCTGGACAGAAAAGAAGAGTTATTTTCCTGTAGTGGTTGTTCATTGAGAATTTTTTTCATGCTGCTTTGAAGTTACTTCCATCATCACTGTAATTTTCAGTAGTGTTGAGCAAAGAAATTGAGAGGGAGTCGGGACAGTCCTTTCATGTTTTCTGCTGTGAACAGAAGTACACGGAGGACACACCGTGCCCCAGAGGCAAGGCTAATAGCAGGCTCCTGATGGTGTGCGCAGGGCGTAGACTCACCTCTAGCAAAATACACATACACCATTTCTCTCCATTGCTTGAAAAACCCCAGATAGTTGCATTTCTTTAAATCACACATATTTTTCCTGTGTTTCTAATATACAATTAATAAGCACTAGTAGCCAGAACAATATTTGCACCAACTATTTTGATGTTTTCAAATCAGTCTTGAGACTATGGTTGTGTGAAACTGTCTAGAAATGAGCAAACAACATCATTTGCTCTCTTCCAAATCAAGTTAATTAGATAATACCTAGTAATTTTCTTCAAATGATCAAGAAGATAACTTTTTTTTATAGACGCACTTATTTTTTATGGCTCTTTCTGAGGTGCTTTTAAATAATGAAATATATAATTGGTTTCTAACTCTATTTTTAATTAGAGAAGAGTCCTTCAGATGTTTCTTACATATTGTGAAAAAGATAACCCATGTAGAAACTTCTTCCATTTTAATATTTAATAAGGAAAATTTAATTGGTAGTGAAATATACAATAATGCCATTTTCCTAAATACTACATTAGTAAAAAAGAGCATACTACACATTCTGCTGAGAATTTTCCTTCCTTAGCAAGTCTTAATAATGTCTTTTGCATCCCAATGAAATAAACAGCCATGCATAGAAATGAAAAGAGAAGAACAGTGGGTCTAATTGTACAATATTTAATCCAGATTATTAATATTTTATTTACCCTGTTCCTTAATATGATGACTAATTTAGGTGACTTTTAATAGAACGTTAAGTTTGCATTTTTGCATGTTCTCCTGAGTGTAACTGCATCCATACCATGTATTGTATGCATGGAGATCAAAAAAATGGTACAATAACAGAAAATTGCATTTTCTGAGGATGGCATTTTCTGTTCTGTTTCTGAAGGGTCTTTGGTCATTTTAGTGAATTATTTTGACATAGCCACATCCAAGGTAGTTCAAAGTCTTCTGAGAAATTACAGTTTTCTGTTAACAACGAAAACATTTAATTATTGTCTATTTAGCTAGAAATGTTATGATTTCTGATACTAGTCAGAGCAGTAATCCTTACTGTACTCCACATTCAAGGTTCCAAGAGCATTACAGACTTGCAAAATTATAACAGCTAGATCATTGGTACTTTCAGTTTTAGTTAATTATTATGAATGTTTATCCAAATGTAGGTGCAATTATATTTTGTATTTACACAGTTTTTCAGATAATTTCTTGTTGTAATTATTCAGTGATTATACTTTTTAATATTTTTTCCCCAAATGTTTTAACATAAATGCTGCTTCTTTTGCAGGAATTCATCAGATCAATAGATTCAGGAGAAACAATCTTGGATAGAGCAATAGGTGTGGTAAACTATGTTATTGCAGCATTTTAGACACAGATATTCTAACTATTGAATTTTATGAAGGAATATGATTACTTTTATCAACAGGGCAAGCTGCATCAGAAGAATTGATTAAGACTACTTTATTGACCTTTGAAGCAGTAACAGAGCATCCCAGCTTGCTGATGACCCATCGCGTGACTGTAAGTCTGACAGCAATTTAAATAGTTGCAGGCTGATAGGCCTAATTCAATTTTAAATAGAAAGTGTTGAAGATTTAGAAACAATTTAAAATATATTGTGGTTCTGTTTGACAGGAAAAATACTTATTGTTTATAGAGAATTTTCAAAGAAGTAGCAAAACATTCAGTTTACTGTACTTAGTTGAGAAATTAGAGGGAGAATGCAAAAAACTTTGAGTTTAGAAATAGTGGTTCTTGATTCTATAAGTGTTTCTTCAACTTCAATACAAATATGTTGCTATATATTAGTGAAACTACCACCACTTTTTACATAAATATATGCTTTTAACAACAACACCACCACTGAGGATTGATTCCATTCTATCTAGATACCAGTAGATATCATATCATATCATATCATATCATATCATATCATATCATATCTCATATCATATCAATCTACTGATGAGGTCATCAGTAGCAGTTATGGTGGTGGGGTTTTTCTGTTGCTGTTTGTTTACTTACGTTTTTAAGTCTAACAGATTTCTTACATAAAAATTTCATTAGAATTACCAAACATACTGTAAGCTTCTTACATCACTGAGTTTTGTTTTCTTTGAAGTTCTTGGTTAAAACATTCTACTGTGAGCTAAGCTATTTGAAGGCAGAACAATTAAGTTGTGAAATGGTTGTCAGCAAATCAGGAGGCCTGAATGGTTGAATCAGGGTTTGACAAATCATCATAACCTGTACCAATGCATTTTTGTGCTTGAACTTTCACCAAATTACAATCCACCATATTTGCTGAGATGGCCATTTGATTCAAATTGAATCTTATGTGTTTGTATTGGAATTAAGTTAAGGGCACGCATTCAATATAGCACTTACATCAAGAAAGGCATCAGCAAATAAATAAGAATGAGGGATGTTAGGCATTGTGCTAGATAAGAATGGGTGATCTTAGAAATCAAGTGTTTTTAGAAGTTGAATCCTCATTGGTGAGAGAATTTAGATTATAAAGTCTTAATAAGTGGAAATAGTAAAATGAATCCCAAATATTATTTGGAATTTTAAGAAGTTTAATAGAATTTTTTCATGAATGCTCACAAGAGTGGTATTCAAGAAAATGATCCTTATGCAAAAAAATCTAACCAATTAGTAGTCAGAGGGGAAATAGTACTGTTCAATTTACTTTAATATGGCCACAATGTCCTAGAAATGAAATGTTAAGTGTAGGTGAAGTATGAATGCCTACTGATATCTCCCTACATGCCTGTCACCCTGCTTCTTACTATATCTGTATCCTGCTAGAATCACCTCCGTTTTAAAAAATAATTGCTTTACTTTTGTGAGTTACCAGTGTGTCTTATATTGACAGGTATATGTACCATTTTTTATGGGGGTCCATCAGCACTGACTGAAATTGCAATACCTTGTGTCAGCACATGAAATGAAATTCCTCTACCTGTTTCAACTTTAATGGTCTGGGGATTTTCTCTGGAAGAGACAATTCCTCTTTACAACTCTTCTTCCCCTGTGCCCATTTCCACATTTAGCAGAACTTTTTCTTGAAGCCAGGGAGTGATTATCCTTGTCTCTGTTAGGTAACCCATGGGTCACAGTAGGGGAGTTTTAAAGTATCTAGATTTCTGGGGAACAGTTTACTTCAGTTCATGTGTAGGAAGTTTTAGATTTTTATTTAAAATCCATCTGAGCATATCAGTTATGTAGTTAGAGATAAAACTTTCTTCCTGACCAGTGATTGTCCAGTAATTCTGACACGTACCACTTTTGTAGTTTCCCTGGTTTAGATATAAAATTGTATCCTTGTAAATGAACAGGTTTTTGGTTTTCTTTTTTTTTTTTTTCTTTTTATTTTCTTTTTTTTTTTAAAGAAAATCTGTTACTTCACTCACTGACTTTCATAAATAACAGTTCTTGCTAATTTAAAAGAGCCCTCTTGACACTCAGCAAATAGTCATTCAGACATAAAATAAAGTGGAGAAATTGCCTTGCATTTTGTATGTTAAATTCAAGAAATTGTCCATTGTAATTAATAATCTCTAACCACATCTGCCACTAGTGGTGCAAACAGTAATTAGTTTAATACTATTTACGAAGTCTAGTGTGCTAATTATACTTGAATGTACAGCATACATTACTTTAGAGGAAAGTGGTACTTCATCTTCTATGATGCATACAGACTATTTTTGGAATTGCTGTTGCTCGAGGGATATCTTCTAATTGCTGCTGGCTGAGCATGACTGGAATCTATGAATATAAATTCCAGCACACAGCAGAATGTTGTGCTTTTTTAAAATGTTGAAGCAAGACATGTTCAATCTTCCAGATCAATATTTAAGTATTACAGTGGTTAATAGGACACTCTTTTAGTGGAGAGAATTTGAAATCCTAGGCTGAGCTAGGAAGGATGAGCCTGGATTGCCCATTTAGTCCAAGTTGTTTACAAGCAGGATTTTAGGGAGTGAAGCTGGGTGAAGGCCAAAACCTTCTTGAGAGGATGCAATTTTTTTCTACTCCCACTGTGACATTGCTTTAAAGTCTCTAATCAGAAATTAAATGCATTTCTAATAAAGTTTAATTAATGCAATAAAAAGTGGGGCTGTAATGAGCAAGCAGAACCAGAAAGTTTTTCATTTGAGTTCTGTTTTTAGTTTAACTGAAGTGGAAATTTTTTAAACTAATAGGAATTTAAGAGCAACATCTCAGTTTCATCCCCACTTTGAGAAGAATTACTTGTTCTGGGTTTTAGTTCATGTTTGATTTACTTTTATATTCATACTTTTAACAAAGAAAATAAAATAAATTGTGGGTATTTGTGGTTAAATTTCTGATTGCCATCAACCTGAAGTCAATTATTGAGGAGATTAATTTCTGTGGAGACTGGCTGTATTAGATATTGCAAAGTGTGATAAAGTCAATGGAAATTAATTGACAGTGCTTAAATGAAAGCCAGCAGTGAGCAGTAATTTCATTTTGCATGCAGATGTGTGCATTTCTACAAAATATAAAGTAAAGAATAACAGTAAGTGTGACTTGGTAAAATTTTACAAAACCAGATTTTCAGGTATGCAAATATGATGTTGAAGATCATTAAGAAGAGTCGGTATAGACTGGACTGAAATATTAACCTCAGTTTCTCAAACTGGTACAAGTCCAACTACTTGTTTCTTCCACCTACCTAAAATGTGAAAATACTTACTAAATTCAGATACTAAGTGTTATAATAATATTGTTTTTCCATTTTCAGTTAAGATTTAGATGTAATTAACTGGAAGGATTTGTGCTGACTCTACAATTTGTATTTTTCTATTTTGTTTAAAGTACATTTATTTGCCTGAAAAAGGGACGTGTGCAAATTCAGAGCACTTGAAATAGTGAAGATCATGATGGCAGACGATTCCTGTGGGAGTCCTTTCTATACTCCAACAAGCTCCCAGAGGTGATCTGTGTACTACATATAATCTACCCAAAATATTAAAGTTCTTCTCTGGTTAAGGCCAAAGCTGTCAGCAGTGATTCTCTTCCTCAAGGTTTTAAAACTTACTTTTAAAAATCAGACTAAAATGAAAGCACCTAGAACATGATAAGTTGCTTGATGGAAAGTCAAGGGAAAAGTCATATGGCAGGGAAACCTACTGTTTGACAATATGGGAGTTATTAGTTTCAATAAAGATGACAACACAAGGGTTAGAAACTTCTGCAAGTGCTTTTTTCTTGATTCAGCATCAGTGTTCTTCATCCACAGGCTATTCTAATCTAACAACCGACATCTTAATTTTGTCAGTGTAGGATGTGACTATATGAACATATTGCACAGAAGTTTTTCAATCACATTTCTTTTTAAGCAGATTAAAATACTGTACTGCATGTGGCTTTCTGTCTATTAAGCTAATCCAGATGACATGCGACTTCTTCATGAAACTAATTCTCTACTAATTGACATATTGAGTCAATCAGTTCTGTCTCTTCCCAGAAGTAAGAAAAAAGCCAAATGCTCAATGAAGATTCTGAAGACTTTTAAATAAAAATTACAGAAGTGCCATCTTTCTTCCCAACCCATTCTAACGTGCATTAGGCTATTTTTTCTGTTACATTTTGAGACATTACTGATGATATTAAAACATTGAGGAGTGTGCTGTGCTTCGAGCAAATGCTTTGAGAAGTTTGAAGGCAGGAAGAAAGATTATTTGGGGTTGGAGCATATCTCTCATGAGGAACAGCTGAGGGAGTTGGACCTGCTCAGTCTGGAGAAGACAACTGAGATGAGACCTCATTAATGAGTATAAATATCTAAAACGGGGAGGGTGGGTGGGTGTCAAGCGGTTGGAGCCAGGCTCTTGTCAGTGATACCCATACCTCACTAGTCAAGTTTTCTTTGCAGAAATTACTCAACATTATGGAGACAGATGTTCTGGTTCTGGATAGAATACTTGTATTTCCAAAAAGGTTTTGACAAAGTCGTGCACCAAAGACTTAAAATTCATTAGTGGCCCTTCCCTCTTACAGGCTAATCAACTTCTAACTAGTTAAAATTTACTAAGTGGAGAATAGAGATCCATTTTTAAAAATTTAGGTGTTTTAACAGCGGTGTCTCACAAAGGTTTGTTGCAAAATGTGCTGCTAATCCCGAAAAGGAAATGAATAGGGAGGCGACAGAGCTGACTGATGACACTAAATTATTCACAGTAGTGAAAATTAAACCTGACAGAGAAGTTGCAGAAGGGTTTTAGATTTGACTGAAAGGAAAATAATGACATGCAAATTCAATACTGATAAATGACAAGTAATGGACATGGGGAAAGTAATTTCTACTGTACCTATGCACTGTCAGACTCTAAACTACTTGTAACTTCTGGTAGTCTTTTGGCATTATTTTTCTATGGAAATGATAGCTTTATACTAAGCAGTGAACAGAAAGACAACTAGATTATTAGAAATGACTAGTGAAAGATGAGACAAAAAAGCAGAAAACGTTGTGCCATGGTGCACTCAGGTCTCAAATACTGAATGCAGTTGTGGTCATTCACTCTCAAAGGAATGAAGTCTATCAAGAAAAAGTGCAGCTCGATCATGCAAGAAGGGTCTGAGTAGAAAAGAGCTTCATCTCGGAAATCAAATACTCTGTAGTATATGGCATAAATGGCATGGGAAAGATGAATTGGAAATAATTCATTCATGCTTTTTATAAAGTAATAATATGTGGGTATCAAGTTAGCTGCTCTAAAAATAAGCAAGGATGTGTCTTCATAAGGCATAATTGAAGTGTAAAGTGCAGTGCTGTTAGTATTGCACATGTTAACAGTATAAATATAGTATAAATAACAGTATAAATACATTTAAGAAAGGATGGGACAAAGATATGGGAGAAAAGACTAAATGCAAAAATACAGATGCAGCATCAGCTTAGGAAGTTTCTTAATTCAAGAGGTACTTTTCTAGAAACTAGATGTGTGTTTTATGCTTGGTTTATTTCTCATACTCTTCTTCTACTCCATTCCAGCTGTCAGAAACAGGATTACCAGGTTTGAGCAGGTTTGGTCCTGTACATATATATTATAGCTGGGGCATATGAATGTAGTGTGTATGGAAGTTTCTAGAATTTCATTGCTGTTTTGGGTAGATAACAGCACGGTAGAAGGCAGCACTGCCTTGGAATGCCATCATTACAGAATTATGCAGTGGCGGTTTTGTGCAGCTAGGGATGTATAATGAACTGAATATCAGGCTATTTAAAAGGTGGTGGGAACTCATCTAGAGCTATAATCTCGTTCAACCTATTTAGTCTGTTTAGGCTTAAAAATAATTTCCTTTTTTTGTTACATAATCTTAGTGATAAAGACTGAGACAAAAAAAACCTGTATCTGATTTATCATCATGCATATATGGAGATTTGATTCCACACTGATATCAGCAGCCATTCAAAAGACGAAGAAATAAATGCTTGTTTGAATATTCTTCTATTTATTTCAGTGCCAAAACACTAGTACCATTTTTCTCTATACATAAATGACAGACATATTTGCAATTTACTGGTGAATTTGTTAAAAATATTTTATGAACTGTTGCGCTTCAGATTATTTCACCTTAATACTCATGTACAAAGTTCATATGTTGTTTACAAATTTATATACACATTAGTGAAAAACGGTGACCCAAATGGCATGGAGGGAAGATTAGGGTTGTGGAGTTAGAAAGTATCTAATTTAAGGTTCATTTAACATTTAATATACGCTTCCCCCTTCAGCATGTGCTTTCTGATATGCTTTTGCATAATAAAATAATTTTCCATAGGATTAGTCCTTCATTTAGTTGATCTCCCCACCACACTGAACTGACATGAGGCAAACACCTTCTATGGAGAATTCCTTTCTAAACAGTTTGTTTACTAAAACTGAGGTTTGTGTTAGAAAAAGCTCAGAATAAGCTGCTACAGTCATTTAAGACCTAAAAAATCTTTACAATGACAGTTGAAAATATATTTATCTTAGGAAAAACTTATGACTGGATTACATTCACTAATGTGGAAAGACTACTGTTAACTACATTAAAGTGATAAAAGATTTTAAGTTTTAGAAATTGAAATTGCATCGTACTGTTGTATACTATCATCTTAATCGGTATAAGTCTGAGTCAATGCTCCTACTGTTCAGTGATTCATAATACCCAGAGACTCTAGGTTGGTTCAGATCATCAAGAGCTACTTCTTTGCCTCTTTTCTCTTTCACACCTTTAATTTACCACTTACATGTGCTTCTTCGTTTGAGAAGCTTTGCAGTAGTTGAACTGATTTCTTGGACTGAAAGGTCTCAAGTACACACAGCTTTTTCCTACCTCACTGGTATGTTATAGCTGATGCATTACCATTTTTAGAACAGCTTAGAAATCTGCACTAATTGAGATGTTGGAATGCAGGTGCAGTTTTATTATTTAACCAAAAAGACAATTAAATATTTCAAAATTATGAAATGTTACAAAAGTCATTGCATCTATGATATATAGCATTATCTATATAGGTGTAAAGGCTATTTGTACTTGCAAGAATAGTTTGGCTTCCATACCTCAAGCAGAATGCTTTTACTTTTTTTATTGAAAGTCTGTAACAAAAGCATTTTGTAGTAGTTTTTTTCAGAAATGAAAGAAGCTAAGGTAAATGAGTCCCTTAATGTCAGAGATTGATTTAACGATCCACCAACCAGCAGTGAAATAGTTGCTAACTGCAGTTATTGCTGGCTGGAGGCTGACTTCAGTTATTGACCCTTTTCATACATACTTTCAACTTCTATAGATGTTTCTTATTAGTAGCTGCATGTATCTACAGAAATTTTATCTTCTCATATTAATTACTGAAACAAAACACATGGGAGATTATAATGCAGTCTTGTTACGCCAAATCCTGTCCACAGTGCAGTGAGAATCTACAGCAATTTTCTTTGTATAAGTAAATCCTAGGACAAGGTGTGCATCCATGACACATGCCTAAAAATTGCAGGGCTATCCATCCATCCTCTTCCCAAAATCCAAACCTGTCTAAATAAATTATATTTTAACAGTGATTTAAGAATTAGAAACTCTCTTATAGAGAAGACTAATAATACACTATTTTTATAACTGAGCCATAGTCTAGTTTATCATCAGTTGATTTCAAATGGAGCTAAGCTGACTAGTGCTGTGACAGATGATGGATTTGTATTAATACCCTCATGGACAATAAAAAGTTGGCTGGATTATATTTTTTATTGTGAAAGTCTTTAGTAATGTAAATTTACATTTTAGTGGAAGACTGTGTATTACCAGAAAGGAAGAAGTTAAAATATTTTCAATACTCTGTATTAAGCTTAGGGACATTTCCTTAGAGGTAATACATATTTTCTGATGTATTTTAATTCTATGCCATTCTGGTTTTATCTGAACTCTATTCAACGATTGGTTTATGGATTAAAGCATCAGGATTAAGATACTCTAATACTCTTTTTTCTTAATATCTTACATCTGCATTGAATTCTGTACTTTAAATTAAAAGTCCCTGTCAATGAATTATACCAAAGTTACTGATTTTTCTGTATAAAAGTACATTAATGTCTGTAATTTTGTGGCAGTTCACCAGAGAAAAATTAACTTGGTGGCTTTATAAGAGTGATTATGGCTGAATTTCCATGATTATTCAACTCTTTGTTTAAGGGCTCTAGCAGCAAAGTAAACATAGATGATAGTGTATATCTGTTCTATCTTTTTCCTCTGTGAATGATCTAAGCCACATCTTTCTAATTCTCTGTTTTAGGTTGAAGACTCTATTGTCCCACCACTTATTTCTTTGGTCCACAGTCATAATGGTAAGTATACAGACATATCAGCTACAGTTTCCATGAATTCCACAGTTTGTTTTAATTATATTTCAGTGTGATTATATTCTTGGCACCTTTATTTTCAAGTGGAATGGAGACTCTTCAGCTTGCGTTTGCTCTCAGAAACCACATCAGTGCTTTTAAGCCACGAAGTCGTGGGTGAGGAGAAAGGGGAGAGCCTCAACTCAAACAACAAGCTTCTGTCTCTCATTAGAGATTTACTGCTGCCTCAGTAAGTATAATATTGCTCCTGTATTGGGGAATAACTCAATATGCAAGCCATTTTGACAGTGTATTTGTTTTAGCCATCCTTTCTATGTTTAAATGACTAGGTCAAAAGGGGAATAGCAATTAACTGCTGCCAGAGTTCTTTGCCCAACATCTCCTCCTAGGTTCATTTAGTGTTTTTTCATATGCAACACAAACACAACTTCTGTGTGACACTCATTTATGATACTGTGCCTCTGGCTACTTTTGGAGCAAAACAGGATTCCTTCTAGCTTTTGGGCTGTGATTTAAATACTTCTATTTGTTCTTCTAATAAAGTCAGAACATTCTAACTACATCTTTTTTGTCTATTTTGGATATTGTACCTTTATTTAAGATGTTCTGAAAGCGTATGGAATGACAGAGACTTTTTTTAAAGGAACAGTACATCATGGATTAATCTTTCATGGTCCACCTAGAGGCTATTGCCTCTAAATTGCTGTCCTTTCCTGCTGCCCCAAGCAGCAGAAAAACCCTACAGCAGAGTAGATGAAACTACAGCCTGTAGGTCAGATGTGGTCTGGAACTTAATTGACATGGTTTATGGTCAAATGAGGCCCCTCTTTTCATGCTAACTTGCAGGTGAGCATAAAGAGAGCTCTCTGTGTTATGCACACACAGACTGTGAGCTGGTAGCATCTGTGAGTAGAGGGAAGGAACATGAGACAAGTACAGTAGTGATGAGTCATCAGTTGTATTTTACAGTTGTATTATTATCAGTTGTATTATTATTCTAATAATGCTGCAGTATTTTCCTGTGTGGTCTTCAAAAGTTAATAATGGTCAATACTTAGCTGCCCTAAGTGAGAAAATTGTTCACCACCCGTACATTATATAAGTGGAAAAAGGCTGGAGGAATGAATGCTGGATTATGATCAGAAACCCAGTGTCTTTTCCAAATATGAGACTTTCTCTGCTAATTGAGTAATGTTCTTACAGTTTGAGGACCAAAGTTTTATCCATGTAAGGTGTGTAGACTTTTCTCTCTAACAGAGGATTGGATGGAAATCTTACAGTTCTGTAGAGAAACTTACTTCAACACCTTTCTTCAAAATTTTTTCCTCTGGGAAATGTGGGATATATCAGCACAAATTAAAATGGCAACTGGAAATATTGTTTTTAAAATAGAGTGTATTTTATTATTAAAGCATTATTAAAACTGTCAGGTACTTTCCTTCAGACAGAGGAAGAGACCTGTAGTCAAAGGAGACAGAGTTCTGTGCTTGCTCTGAAGCTTCCCCTTTGTAGACATGTCCATCTTATACGATGTTTCTCAGTGGACAAGCGGATGTGTTTGGAGGGATGTGTCATGCTAATTACAAGCTAGAAGGAAAACAGCCAATTGACTTTTGTCTCCAAGCTTACTAGCTCAATGGAATGGAAGGGCTTTTTGGCCTGAGACTAAATATGATCCTATGCTGGGGACTTCAGTTGTGCCATCTTAGCATGTGCTGTGTGGCAGATGTACGAAAAATGGTCTTACAGCAGCTCAGGATCTTGAATCCAGGGTTTAAGTAATTCCTGAATCAGTTTCCCCATCTCATTAGTAGAGATGAGAAGGAAGGAGTTCTAAGAGTCAGTGAAGATAATGTAAAGCTCTATCCCAAGAAATCTCAGAATTTCTGTGGTTTCTGAGAAAACCTGAAATCTCTTGAAACTGAGATAGAACATTGGAGGCTGAAGAGCTTTTTGCGGATACTGTTTAGTCTTTCTGTTGCTGGGTAAGGGATGGGAAAGAATCCGACTCAGCTGGAGGACAGTCAAAAGAGAGGGGGTATGTGATGGTCGTTTGTTCATGAGCAGTCTGTGGAAGGAAGTAGATACTTCCACCCTTTTTGAATCTACTGAGAGCTGTTGAATATGGGAGGGAGTGACATCCAGTTTTAATATGGGATGTTCTTTTTAGCGAAGATGGTAATCTTACACATTTGTGTGTATATTTTATTCCTATAGATATTCTTCTCAAATTAATTTGTTTAAATGTAAAACTGACCCTTGAAATAGAATGTGGGTCACTAGGCATAAAATATAAGTAGACTTCATTTTGAGATAAATGCAGGAGTGCAGTGATTACTATTTTTTCTCATCTTCTGCATCATCAATAAAATGGTAATTCCATTAAATATTTGTGCATTTATAGATCACAAAGTTAGCTTCCTCATAGGGTTTTGATTAAATGGAATGAAACAGTGTCATTAAATTTCAGTTCATTGAAAGATTATTTTCCTGAACGTTTCATAACCAAAATGAAACCTGCAGCTATAGACAGTGAATAGATGGCAAATGCTTTATGTCCAGATTTTTTAATCAAAAATTGAAACATTAGCTCTATTTAATTTTAATTTCTAACATTCCTTGTTATCTAGCGTTAAAAATTGAGCCAGAATCAGCAGAAAGAGAGAAGTGTGTAAATAAAGTTATATTTTCTTTGAAGGTTTGTTTAGCTTGTTCTCAGTAGACTACCAAGCCAGTTCTGCAATTATGAAATCCAGGATACTTGACATAATATTCTTTTTTTAAGAGTTTAAGAGAGTCTACATCCCTAGATCTTTAGTTCCTTTTGTCAAGGTTGTTTATAGAAAGGATTGATAAAATAACTCCTTACAATGTAGTACCTGAAGTTCACAAAACCCTTATAAAATGCCCTCTACAGCTACTTGCAGGGAGGATAGAATGTAGGAGAATAAAGATAGTGTAGAAGGCAATCTCACCCCTGAGGAGTTACAGCTGTACTAATTACCAAAGATTAAGAATAAGCCTGCCCTTAATAGGCCACAGCTGTGTCCAGTAAGATTAGTGCTATAAAAGAGTGGGTTAGCTAGTTGGGAAGAGGGTTGGAGTTTGTTTGCTGTGTGAAGGAAGGAGCGAATGTTGTGAAGAGCTGCCCATGAGAAATCACTGAGAAAGTATGAGACTTTTGCAATAAGATAAAAACAGCTACTGTTACTAAACTGTTCTGTGTTAAGTGGCAGTGAAATAATTTGATGACTCATTCATTTAAGAAAGTATCTCGAGCATGGCATATTTTCCCTTCTGAGAAGATTTGTATATTCATAGCTCCTAATGGCCTTTATTTAGTCAGTGTGTTTATATTAATTGCTGAGACATTGACTCTAGTTACCCGTGTTTTCTTATGTGGCGTTTGGTTTGATGGATCACTGCACCTTCCCTCAGAAATATCCTTTCCTAGTATTGTCTTGAGGGAGGGGAGAAGAGAATTTCAAGGAAAAGGAAGTGAAGTGAGACTTTTTTTATTTAACCTCAAGAAATTAGGATGCTAAGTGTGCTAAGTAATAGTGTCTCTCAAGTATAACACATAGAAAGCTTAAAACTGTTAAGGTAGACCCTGTTTAGGGATTATGTTGATATAGGTATATGAACAAGTATATTGCTAAGTGTCAGATTTTTAAGCATGCATGGCTGATTCATTTGTTACTACTGTTAGGAATTACAGTTTTGGAGACTTAAATTCATGTCTTATCTAGTGAAAGATGACTTCTGGCATCTGAGTCACCTGATAGCATCTTTGCCTCAGAAGATTTAGTTATGGACTCTGGAAAAAAAAAATAATATTTCAAGTCCCATTATGTTTGCTAGGAGTATGTATTGCTCAAATGTAGGGATCTTGGAATCAGTGTCTACTAGAGTATTACAGTATTGTCTTCTTTTATTAAGAGACTTTTTATTGACCAGTGAGAAATTATTTTCTTTGGGGAGCTGGAATCTGCTCTTTGTAAAAGAGAGAGTTTAATTACTAAAGACCTGAAGCCAACACTGACTTCCAACTTGATAATTTTGAATATCCTGTAATGTGGTTTGCAACCCTACAGCGGCACATTGAAGTATGTAATAGCCATGATACGTTTCCCGTAGGCTGTGTGCTTGTGTGGGATTGTTAGCCCTTGTGAGGGAATTCCCACAGGCTACATCAAGACTGCACGGCTGGTGTGCTTGTCCCTCCTCGTCATAGGCAAGCAAAGCATCTCCCTCTAGATTTCCTTCCTGCACATGTCAGAGTGCTGAGGTGCGGTGCCTACACAGAGGGAAAGAGCTAACACATGGTAGGTACATGCTAGCATGAAGGTGGTGGGAAATGATCCAGATTGCTCAGTTCAGACAGCACTAGGGATCTCAAGATGTGGAGTAAAATTTTCAGTGATTTGCCTGATTCCCCTCCCTCTACCAGAACAATACAGTTTTTTATTTTTGTGGAAGCATTTTGTTGCTCATGACATGGTAACCTGCTATGTTTTCTTACAATTCATCCTTTCATTTGTCCTTGATTAATTCTTCATGGGTTTTTTTGCAAATTAAACGATTTACACTTCCTGTTCTATTACATCCACGTATTTGGAGTAGTTGAAATCAAAGACTGTGTTTTGACATAGCTTAGTCTGATTTTCTATGCTTGTATATTTCTCACTTCCATCATTGTATCCTACTGCCATCCACATACATTTTTGTTTAAATGCAGTAAAATTAGCCTCATGTGTTGGGTGGGCATCACTAGAATGTTAGTAGCAACAGCGAAGTCCATTTTGTTTTTCAGCAGCCTGTTTTCCCTTACCAAAGATTTCCATGAGGTGGTACTTGGAAATGTTTTGAAGAGGTTTTTCTTGGTTTATTTTCTGTCACGGCACTCAATAAACATTGTTTTGAAATATTTTATATTCTTCTGATCTATATGACTTGGAGAATGAAAGTATGCTGCAGTGAAAGCAATATTGTTTGGAATCTGAGATAAAATATAAATATCAATGTGCATTTCTCTCAATTTTGATAAAAATAACTATGTATACAAAATATAGAGCTTAATAATATATAATTTGATCATGTTCCTAAGCACTCAATAAATCTTCTACCTGATATCTTGAGGGTCATTTACTACTTGTCTCTTGAAGAATAGATTTTTTTATGTATAAAACAATATAGATCAATAAAGAAGTCTTGCACCTCTAGATAAGGTCAATATTTAAGAATATATTTTACCATAATTTATAGTTATAAAACATACAGTTAAAAAAAACATTTATAGTTATATATATATATAGTTATATAGCTATATATAGTTATATAACTATATAACCTGCAAATCTATATATGTCCACATATATACATAGAAGCATGTGTATACATATTTTATAATTCTCTCTCTAAAAATGTGTTCTCTTATTAATGCTGCTTTTAAATTAAATCTGATGCTGGTTTTAAACTACTGTTTCTAAGTGAGTCTTGTTTGTTGCTTTGTACAAATTGAAACAGCCTTGTATTTCAATTGTAGTTATGAAGTTTGGAAATGGGAAATGATACACATCAAAAATTGATACTAAAAATGTATCTCTTGACATTTTCCCCCACTTTTTTTGCCCCTTTCCCACTTTGCCTTTCAGGTATGAGCACATTCTGCTGGCTCCAGACCCAGTGCCAATGTATGCTCTGAAACTGCTGGTGGCCCTGACTGAGCGCAGCCCTGCTTCTGTGAGGTGATACAACTACACATTCTCTGTTTCTCTCAGTTCCTTCTGTTTCAATTTCTGTTTCCTATTAGGGATCAGCAATAACAGATCTCACTATTGTACTTCTTTGACTAGCACTATGATTTAGAAAAATGATTGGAGAGTGTTTGTTATAGGACACACCTTATGTCTTTTGTGTCAATTTTATACAATCCTGGTTATTTCATCTGGATTTAGCCAATGTAACACTAGAGACAAAATCTGAAGAATTTTAACATTAAAATTATCTTCAAAAATGTAAAAAAAAGCCCCAACCTAAAACATCATTACAATTGTTGTTCAACTGAACATATTTGTGACTAGGACAAAGGTGGTGTGTTTGTTAAATGTTTACACCAGTTAATTCACTTGAAAATTGGTCAGTTCGCCTGCAAATATATCTACCCTTAAAATTCCTAAACACTAATTTTAATTTTAGGTATAGGTAGACTCAGTATGTTTAGAAGTATCTTAATGTCTCTTCCTTCTTGTTCCAAAATTTAGACTGTGATGGACAGAAAAAAAACCAAACTGTCGTACAACTTAAACTGTGTGAGTTGATAGTAATAAGGAAGTCTCTCTCTATCTTTCTGGATATGCTCGAAAAATGTGGTTATTCTTGTCATTGACCATTATGTTATGGCTCAGAGATTGCTAAGCATTGTACTGTCTTGCTTTGATTGATTGAAATGAGCACAAGAAAAAAAAAAAAACAAACAAGGATGTTTAATTTGTTTTCCCACTTTTTATTATAAAAGATGAAACAACCTCTTTTAATCTTTTATGATGCTACAGGGAATGGTGCTTTAATATGCTAGTAGACTACAATTAACTACGAAATAGGAAGGCATGAGATTTTTAAATCTTTTGAATTGTATAAAACAGTTTTCATTGTAAAGAAACTGTTTATGCTACTGTAGGATTTTATGTATTCTAGAAACAAGTAGAACAGCTTTTAATTTTTAGATTTAACCACAGATATTCTAGTACTTTAAGAGTTATGAAGAATACTTGAGTAACCAGAATGCTTATTATATTAGCAGCACATTTCCTCTTCCTACTGAATTTGCTTTATTTGAGAAATCATACGTATTTGCCATTATGTATGGCAAAATCTACCAATGTAGGTAGATTGTGGATGCACACTCATCCTCATGGTCATCTGGCATTGCACAGGAATTTTTTTTGTAATATTATTCAAGAGCACCTGTGGGTACTCAATGAACTATTATAATTCGAAATACCAGTATGTCCAGCACTCTTATTTAAGGACTGGCTATCGGATTTGAGATTCTAACCCATCTGTAATTGTGTTGTTTCTCAAATACTTTACAGGTCCTCTTTTACTTTCACTAAATCATGTGTGTGGCTAGGTTTCTAAAGGATCACAGTTTAGGCAATTCCCTTGGTCTATCTTTTTCCTTATTCTTTGGCTTCCCAATAAATTTCACAGGAAGTAGCCAATGCTTCAAAGCACGAGAGAGGTGAATAATATATTCATATTCATACAAATTGCTGGTGAACAAAATGGAAACCAGGGACATGCTGTGGTGAACACTATATCACAATTGGTTCTGTTTTGGTTCAATGAGTAGTTAATCAGTATTCATGAAGCTCAAAATTACTCAAGGCATATGCTCTTTTTTGCTCCTTTCATTAGACAGATGGAAAGTATCTGCAAAAATTGTAATGGGGAGTAAATAAATAACACTGGACGCAAATCCTGTGGGATTTAATTTGTTCTTGGTGGAAAAATTCTACTGCATTTTAGTACTGATGAGAGTGATGTGTGTTGCTGCATTGAGTCTCTGTGGCTTCTTCAAGCTTACATTTTATGCACAATTTTACATTTTATGCTTTTAAGGATGGATGCTTTCTCCTGCAATTTTAAATGAATGAAAGTGGTAGTAGCAACAAGATTGACAAAATGTTAAATTAGTATTTACCATGCTGTTGCAATGTCTTTTGAAGGTAGTTAATAACAATATTATTGTGATGTAAAGAGTGAATTAGGAGTAGGACAAGGGCTAGTATGCTTTTGTTTAGTTTGTTCCATATGATAGCTTGTTCTCAGACATGTTCACCTAAGAGATTCTCACTTTCCTGCTCTCTCTTTATTAATTCTACCAATTTTCTTGCATCTGATTCTTCTTACCATCATCTCAGGATTTACCTGTGTGCTCCCTGATAGAGGCATCTGTGTTTGAGCAGTTCTTATTTTAGCACTTGAAAGGAGACAGATGCACTCAAATTTTTTTCTTTTTTGTTTCCTTTTTTACATAGCTGATACTGTAAATTAGCTAAATTGTGATATCAGAGAAAAGAGATTTCATCTTCCTCCAACATTTTGGGCATTTCTGTTTTCTATTACAGAATTTTGTTTTCTATTACAGAAGTTTGTTATATATAGCATAGACACAGATACTCAAATAGTTATATTTTTGATGGTTTTTAAGCTTATGATAAAATACTGTAGTTACAATACATGTTTTGAATTCCTTTAATTAGCATTTTATAAGAATACAAAAAATACTTCGTACTCTTTGCCATTGCTCCACTGTTGAGGTAATTTTTAATATTCTCTGTTGTGGGAGCTCTTCCACTCCATTGCTTTTCAATTTAGCAGTGAAAAACTCTAGTGATATCCTATTAGTGTGTTGCTGAATTAGATCTCTCACCAACTTCAGTTCTCTCTTGTGGAAGATGGTAGCTGTAAAAAACCCCAACTTTAATCTGTTTCTGTGGACACTTTTAATTATTTGGACATCTGATCATGTGAGCATCCACAGGAAGAAAATCCAGTTTCAGAAAAGGATGAGTGTTTTCCTGTCTGTTTTGACCTGAATGGGTTAGAGTATAATTGAATCGGGTACCTTTTTTTACCTGCTTTTGCATCACACAACAATTGCTGTCTGATACAACCTCGCTTAGAGTTTGTTTACTAAGAAAATAGTGGATATCGAAAGAGTGACGTTTGAACCAAGTTTGTCCATCAGTTGCCTGTTTTATACTTGGCTCAAAGCAAGTAGCCTGGCTTTAAACCTTCTAGTAATATTCTGTTGTGGCTCTCCTAAATAGAAATTGCCTTGTCTTCTTCAAGAATTTTTAGTGTTTTGTGGCAAGAAAAATTGTGACCATTAAAACCAGTGTGAGAATTAATAGCAGAGTTCATATTTAGCTATATTGAGAGTGCTGATTTCAAAAGAAGTCACTGATATTAAGGGAAGTTAAGCTTCAGTTGATGATTAATTTCTGGACTACTGTAAATTTGCATTAGTTTTTTGGGGTTTTTTCCCTTTACATTAGTTTCTCTTGGTGAATTGTAGCTGTGTAAAGAGTTTTTGGAGGAGTGAAACTTCTCACAGTGGGAGCAAATGTCTGCAGCAGGCTGAAGTGTGATTTAACTATGCAAAGTCTGCATTCAGAAAGAACAGTATCATAGGTAGTTTGTCCTTTTGTGTTTACCAACTTGTATATATTATACCAACTTGTATATATTATACCTTCAATGTATAGGTTATATGTATGGATAGGAAGTCAGACATAATCTATAATGGGTTAGGGTTTTTTTGGTTCCTGCTTTGAGTCTTTTATGCTCTTTGCTTGGTCTGTATTGATCAGATTGCTAGGGTTTTTTCCTAGTAGTGAGGAGTTTATGTGAATTTCTTTGTTTCTCTTAAAACTATGATATACCTATATAATATACCAATTCACTGCTCTTAAGTGTTTTGACTGTTGTAATAGAATCTATACTGTGCTACTTCAGGAAACTTTTATTGGATCATGATTCTTAAGCTGCCTTTTTGCCTTACAAGGCAATTATGAAATGTAGCCGTGTGCTCTCTTAGACAGCCACTTGGTCTACTTTTAGTCAGAAACTCATAGCATTTGGTGACATTAATGTATCTGAAAGCTAAACCTTCTGAACTATGGAGTCTGAATTTAGGGGTTGCTAAAATAGACAATTTTGGTTTCAAGGAATAGGGCCAGTAAAGTTAATAGAGTAGAAGTGGAGGCAATGTCAGATACTGCATCAGATAATGATCATGGAAGTGGGACACATTCCAGTATTCTATTAAGGGCATTTCCTGAGGGAGAAACACCTAACTAAAAACTGATAGTCAGGCACCCTTCTTAGATGTGTGATGAAATCATACCAGGAGACCAAATTAAGTAACCTTTCTCACCTCTTGTCCTTAAAAATAAATCTTCCAGACAAACATTAGGCTCCACTAAAAAAGACAAAAAGGTATCAGAAACCAAAACAGGAAGGTGATGAAGAGCAATAACAAAAAAATCTGCTGCTTCTAAATGTCACAGATCTAGTACCTGTGAAGATGATAGATGGATCAACCTCATATGTTGCTGCATATTGTCCTGACTAATCAGAGTAGCTGTCGTAGTGTCTTTGGAATCATCCAAGAATTGTCCAATTTTCAAACTTTGTTTAGGCTACATTTTGTACCTATGCATTATCTATTAAAGACCATTAAAGGCACTTTTTAGGGACGGTGTCAGGAGTAAGTTGGTCATATTTTCATACACTATTATGATCTACATCAGTGTTTAGTTACATTTCACTATATTCTGAAATGGTCTAAATTCTTTAGCCTTGATTTCAAAAAGCAAACAGTAAAAAAAACCCCAAACAAACCCCAAACCAAAACCAAACTCTTTGGAGTTCATTGTGGTGTTTTTAACCGTTTGTTGGTGTTGTGCATAGATTCTCTTTGGACCTGATGTAGTTTCTTTGCCATTATCGTAGAGGTCTAGTGCTTTAGTGCTTTCCTTGATTAATATGGGCTTATGTTAATTGCTTTAAAATACTTTGTTCTTCTCATTAGTCATTTTAATTTCCTAGTTTAGGGCTGAAATGCTCACTTTAAAAAGTAGGTCTATTTCCTTCTATATCGCTTCTCTGGTTTTATGTGTTGTTTTACTTTCTGTAATGAATATGAATAAAATAAAATGGAGTTGTTCTGATAACAGGTAAGCCTTAGGGCCTAGTCCAGCTGAACTGAGCAGTAGAACTACATGTTAGAAGTGTACAACATTAGTGAGAAAATCACAATCCAGACGGATTGAGAGAGATTGCCAGAGGATTAAACTGTTTTATTAGAACTTTAGGGAATGTTTACGTAGATTTAGAACCTGCTTTTGATTTTGATTATGCTAGTTTCACATCTATGGAAATTGAGTTGTAAAAACCCAGATTTTCCTTTTAGACAAGTAATGCTAATATAAAACAGCACAGAATTTTTATGATCTTGCTGTTCCTATTGTTTAGTGTAATGTTCGCATATATGCTGCTTCATCGAGAAACATCAGGCAGGAAGACTTGCCCATAACAGACTCTTGAAATGTTAAGTTTTGTGTCAGCTAATAACGCTGTTGTCAAGTTGCACATCATGGTAATTCATATCAAATGCTGTAGTCAGAGTTCATTATTGCAAGGGTGTTCTCACATTCTAGTCATGTACAGACTGTAATACTAATCACCATTTTTAATGTAAAACACAACTCAGTGTTACATTTTATAAAAGCTCCCCTTTAGTAAAGAAATAAGCTATTAACCTTAAACCTGTAATTTTGTTTCCTCTTTCGTGTTGCTGATCAATTTCTGCATCTAACTTGTAAGAATGTGAGAGAAATATTTGATGTTACTGTTAGGTGAATTTTTGGAAAGAGTCATGTTGGAAAGTTCAAATGATGTAAAGCATTGAAAAGGAGCAAATACCATTCATTCTTGCTTTTTTTTTTTTTTTTACTTTCAATAGTGATTTTTTTTGCTCTGTAAATATAAGTACCAAATGAGGAAGAGTCAGCTAGCTGGGTTCCTACAGCTGGAGCTGCAGGCTTGAGTGAATTCAGTTCTGCCATGAATCGTCTGTTCAGCGTCAAACAAATCTAAAACACTCTCTAGTCCATTCTCTTGTGTTCAATAGTAGGTGCCCAGAGAAGACTACAGGAAGGAGTGAAGTGTATGGGAATACTTTCTGGAGCCTATGGGAATACTTTCTGGAGCCTTTCTCAGCCACCTCTGAGGTTTTTTTCAGAACCCATGTAAGATGATGTGTTCTGTAGATGTATGGAGGAGTAATCTTCGTTTCATTTATGTGGCCTGAAAGAGATATTTCACAAGTCACTTTCAGCATAAATAGTTATTCTATAACATAGCCATGTGTATATAAAGATTTATCATCTTCAGGTATTTTCTTTGTATTTCTTTGTGTGACGTGATCACTTGCTATTTAATTTTATGCCATCATCTTACAGTTAAGAAGAAGCACGCTACTTCATAAATTTCTGGAATATTTTCTCCTTCAGCTGTCTCCCCCAGCCTTTGCAATGTAAACAGTCATGCCTATTTTTAAAGAGCCTGAGTAGGGTTCAAAAATCTGTCATGGATTTGACATTTCATCCCTTTAAAATTAATGTCTTGCTTCTTGCTTTGTGTGTGTCCACCAGTTCTGTTCTGCAGAATAATTTCTACTCATTTGTTCAGCTTAGAATGTCTGTAATACCCAGATTTTCACACCCTCCCATCCAACTTTTCTCTAAAGATTCTCTCTGATAACAACACATTTTCTGTCTTTTTAAGGTATCAAACCTGTAACAAAAAGCTTTTTGTGTTTAGTGTCCTGGAGTAGGCTTTTGGTTTGCAAGAAAGTAGTTTAAGATTTCTTAGAAAAACAGATCTCTCATATTGTTGGAAAGCAAAATTGGAGGCACAATCTCATTCTGAAAATTGTTAGTGTATTAAAAATTCAGATTGTACTGATAGCAAATCTTTTAAAATCAGATCACCAGTTATTTTCAGCCAGCACAGCTTATTTGTGTATAGTTTTAAATGAAATGGAAATTGTTAGTGTTATTTGCTATTATAATTTATGTATGTATATCATGATGATTCTGTATGTTTTCCAAAGAGGGTAGGACTTATTTAATAGAAATTATATAACAGTCGATGAAAAACCAAAATACTTCTGCTTTAGAATAACATTCTATGAAATAAATCCCATAGCTAAACTCCTCTTTCACCAGCTTTAAAACAGTTCCTTTGTAAAACTATGTAATACAGCAATGAAGAGTGTGATCAAGTCACTCTCTCTCTCTCTTGAGCACATATATGCAAAGTTGGGATAAATCAGCTTGAAGCTTTGTCTTAATGTAGTGCTTGATGTGACTTTATGCTTTAGCTAAGTTATGTGTATAATTTTCTTTCAAGCCTGCAGCTTTTTATTGTTTCAATCATAAGGTTTGGCGGGTGACCTTTAAGAACAGACCTATTGGCTCTAGTTTTGTTTCAGCTTATCTCAGCAGAAAGTATAGCTGACTTTGTAGTGCTGTAACAATCGGGACCACTTCCACTGTTTGAAAACAATTGTTTCGTAATTTACCCTCTACCACAAAAGCATTTTTCTAGGTTCTGCCTAAGCTAGGATTGCTTAGCTATTCTTGGTATTTGATTATATTTTACTGCTAATGTGTTCACAGTTTAAATGCTGCTTATGTAGCAAAGTGAGCAGCTTTTGCTGGGGTAATTCCAATATTCCCTAAGCACAAGTAGGCTTGTTCTGGTGAAACTTAGTTTGTCAGTATGATTGCTGTTACAGTAGCTGCTCTTTTTGGGAGTCTGTGGGGTTTAAATTACTTTCTTTACATTCAGTATTGTTATATCTACATCAGCAAAATTCTGTTTTGCAGACATGGACTAGGCTTTTAATTTAACTAGTAGATTTGGCTCTGGAAATTAACCTCAAATATAATAAGTCCTCCTATCTGTAATCTCGGGACTCTTCTTGTGACCTGGCTATGTCCAAGCTGCCATAACTGTCTATTTAAGGGTTATTAGATGGCCCAGAGGAGATTAGCTTTCATGTTCTCCTGACCTATTAAAGTAATTTGTTTCCATTGCATATGGGAAAAAAAAATTCCCTCAATTTAGTAAGAAGAGAAATTGTGCTTAAATTTAAGCTTCTAAACTTAGAAATAATGAGTTTCTGTCCTTACCTAAACTATTTTCCCTCTGTTGAGTGTAACATTTCTGTATGCAAGAAAAAATGAACACATTTGTTTGAACAAGGCTATTACTTAGTTTTGTTAAATGTCTGTATGTGGTGCATAAAAGGTTTTTGTTTTGTTGTATTTTGTTATATTTTGAACAGTTTAGTGGATGTGTTTTGCTTGTCTCCAGGTCTACTTGCCAGTACTGTACAATGCAACGGATCTTCTTATTCCCACCCTTAACTCATATAGATTCTGTATCATAAAATCATTATTACATTTAGGTGAAGGGAAGGATCAGAGAAATAGAAAAAACAGTATGAAAAAGTAAACCTTTATTCATACATAATGCATATTTCTGCGTTAGTTAGAAGTAATCCTTAGTTATTCATAGATATTGTTGTTCTCTAAGCATGGCTTTCATTCCTTATTATATCTCCTTTACAAGACATGATTTCAGCAAATATGAACAACCAGGGCCCTTACAAGTGACATTAATTTAAATTAAGCATTTATTTTATAGCCTTTGGATGTCTGTTCTAGCCCCTTCTAATTTTTTTTTTCATTAGAGAAAGTTCATAGAGGAGAATGTGAAATTCCTTTTAGCTGCTTCAGTTCACTGTCTAGTATTTTAGCTTATACTATCCATAAAAATGCCTTTGCCTATCTTATTGGACATGAATAAAAGTTCTTAAATGGAACTATGTGATTCTAGGTGTATATGAGTTCTTTTTAACAAATAGCTTACCAAACAGAATGAATCTGATTGTTTTATGAGAAGCCAATATAGAGTTTTACACAGTAAGGCTTCAAACATAAAATTAAATACTTATTTTAGTCAGGTATAACTGCTGTTTATTCACAGTGAACTGTGTAATATAAATTGAAATTTTTAACTGACATACTGCTGGCAAGACAACTTCGTAGAGTTGTACACTGAGATCCCAGACATGCTCTCTGTGTTTGAGTTCTACATTTATCACATGGGCTTCTTAATGCAGTCTTATCTTTGCTGTGTCACAAAGCTAAACCTACCAATTGTTTAAGAAGCACTTTAATGACATTGTGGTGACACAGAAAAAATTTGTGAAACACATAATTGGGTGTTCTCTGTGGTGTTTAGTGAATAGGCTTTTAGTATAGTGTGTAAGAAACGGTGACAATCATTCTTCCAATTAGACAATATAATACAGTAAAAAGCATGTAATCATGTGACTCATATGTCATCATAGTGTATGAGACAAACATGCTTTACGAATATAGTGTTTTGTGCTCCAACAATAGAAAATACTGAATTAATGTACAGTGTTGCTGATTTTTGAGAATATTCTTTCTTTCAGCATATATATGCTGGGTCTTGTCTGATTTTGAAATGCAGAAGAATATAGGTGACTTCTTTTGGGCCACTACTACTCAGCATTGTCAAGTATCCGACAAAAGTATCATATGTTAAATCCAAGAAGTTAGTTAACATGGCGTTCTTTAAAAAAACACCACATGTTTGTAATTTCATCGTGTGCTGAGTCTAATTCAAACAGTTAATGGTGTACTCTGTTTCATAGTATGTATAGTGCTATAGCTGTGGTATTTTATTAATTACTGCCATTAAAAAATGCTAAATTAATTACAATTCAAGTGGGTAGAACAGTATCAATGAAGCAGACCTAGGAGTAATTTCCAAAGCAGTATAATGTTGCTGTTTCTGTTTAATATCTGAAATGGAGGTCATTTTTGTTGAGCGGTAGTCAAAGGCTAAGGTTCTGGGTCAAGGATCTTGGCAACAGCTATTCTACTGCTCTGTTCCTCTTGTGAGTTTAGTGTGTTAAACAAGAATTCATTTCCTCTGTTATTAAACAAATCTTAAAATATGTTTTTACAGCCTCCTGGAAGAAATCCATCTTTTTCCAGTTCTTTTCCAAGTCATCTTGGTAAGAATAATTTTTAATATAGATATATACTCTAACAGGTAGATATCCTATCTCCCAAATCATATTTAACAAGTAAGTTTCATTAGCAATGTTGATAAAATAATATGTTTGTAAAATCAAATGGAACAGTCGAACAAAACAAAAGAATCTTGAGTAAGCAGACATTTGGGAGGTTCTCACCAACTAGTCCATCTGTATAAGACGTTTCTTCAAGATAAGTACTTTTTTCTTTCTTGAATCAAAAAATCCTCTAAAAATAGAATTAATGAGCTTGATTCTTAATTAGAGCTGTATATTTGCTGAGTCCATAGAAGAAATGCTGAGGAAGTTGCATTTCATTTAATTGCATCAAATACAAATTTGATACTGTTGGCGTGGTAGTCTCAAATCCCACTATTTGCTTTTAGAATTTTTTTCAACATACAGTATCAAGGATATGATTTTGGGATAGTCACATGTGGAACTTCCATCCCTAAATAGAATCTGCCACTTATAAACGTCATGAAAACTTTTGGTTTTGTTTCTCTGAAATGTTGCAAAACAAATATGTTAATGAAGAAGAGAGATCTTTAGGCTAGTTTGGAAGCTGGGTACTATGCTATCCATTAGCCTTCTTATTGTTAAATTCCAGTCTCTTGCTAATTTTTTAAATTTCTAAGTTTATGAAGTTGTATCAGGTAAGTGTCCTGTCTTGTAAGCATACTCCTGATGAATACTAAATAAGCATTATGAGTAAATACACATTTATGTAATGCAGACAGATTGCATACTTGCTTTTGTATCATTCTTGAAGTTCAGTCTTATTCAGGGTAAATGATATTCATAAATGGGATTCTGAATCAACTTTGATATTCCTTTCTTAAATTTCAGTATTTTAATCTTCACTCTTCCTTTGCAGTGATTTATTTTACTGCCTATCATTTTGAATCTCTTTAATACTTCATACCTAGATAAGCCATTTTTTATTAACATAATCTTGTTAGTGATGATAGATTTTTTTTTTCCAGCAGCATACAGAACATAGGCTTTATGATATTTTTTGTACATATACCTACAAATCTCTTTTTGTGATAAGTATTGAGAATAAAACCATACCTTTCACTGTGCTTCGTAGATAATTTTGACCTAGGATGAGTACTAATTTTAAGTATTAATAAAAGAACTCAGTAAAATATGGAAGTAAAATGTTTCATATTAATATCCCTAAATATTTAGTTAATATTTGAAATATCTTCAGGTGCTAGAATCTTGAAATTTAGATGTATATATATATGTCCTAAACCCTAAGCCAAGACAATATGTGAGTCTTAAGCTTATGAGTATTTGAACATGGTTATGATCTTTCAAAATATTCCCAGGTATTGAAAATTTTTGTATAATATATCTGTAGTTACGGAATTCAAAATGTGTTTGTCATACAGTGTAAGTATGACAAGCTGTAGTCAGACATAAATGCTCGATCCTTACCTCCCCACATACAGTTTGACCTCAGGAGTTCTAGAAATAGTTCAGTGGTTTTTTAGGGAGTAAAGCAGTTTAGCTCTAAACTGTCTGCATGACTAGTTGTCTCTCAGGGTTTCACAGCTCTCTTGAAGCCCTATGGCTGTCTTTGAGCCTATGGCTGGAGTTGGGGAAAAATCCTTCAGCTTTTAGGGGAAAAAAAAATTCCCCTTTCAACATGCTTTGTTCAAAGAGGGCACCTGTAACTGCTTCAGTTGTCATATACAGCATTTGAGCTTTAACAGTACACTGGCTATGAGCTGTGGTCTTGTTTGGATCAAGGGATGTGAGTTGTTAACAACAAAAACAGCAAAGGAGGGTGGCAACCCCTTCCTCTGTTTTCCCTACAGAAAATTGAATTCAGCAAAAGAGTGGTTGGCAGTTGGGAAAACTCAGGAGCCAGGACTAAATCAGACTGGAAGGATTAATCATTTGGCTGCTTTTCTTTTGAACAGAGTAGATTGAACAGAGCAGATTAACAAACTTCTTCATTACAGGTTTCTGAAACAATTTTCAGTCATATGGGTGAAGGGAGTTGCATATAATTTGATTCCCATTATTTTCCATAAACTAGTCTTTGTCTGGTTTTTACTTTTATCGGTTTCAAGGATCAGTACAAATATTAGTGTTGAGATCTGTGTTATTATATATAGTCCTTTATCAGACCCTAAACTATTGAATTATGCTTCAGAGTCAATACTCCATTTTATTCTGACAGTAATTTCATGTAGAGCTATTACTATCTAGTCCATGGTTTATTACTAGTACCTAGTGATTTCTATGCCAAGACTTAATATCCAATGTGTATTTTCTGTGTATCATTAAATATAGTTCATGTTTTTTTCTGCTATGCAACTGACAGTACATTGACGCTGTTAGACTGCTACTGGAAATACTGTGGGCTTAAAATTGAAAAGCATTTCCAGGAGCAGTCTTTGTTTCTAGGCTGTGCTGCAATCCAAGTGGGATTGAATGTACTAGCTCTAATCTAGCTGGCACAGTAGCAAGGACATGATGGCTTGCAGATACTGAGCAATTCACAAGAAATAAGTTTTAATATGACTGCTTTACACTGCTCATCAGTGTAGAGTTATATTACCTCTTATACTTCACACTACCTGATGTTGTGGTCTAAGCAGTAACACTGAGATTTGGCAAGTTTTTTTATCCTCTGTCATCTCTCTGGACCAGTTAGATCTCTGAATTCAGTCAAGGCATAGGAAAAGTGTCCTTTCATGTCACTTATGACTGCAATTTTTTAATTGTTATGGTTGCCAAGCAAAAAGAACTGGATCAGTGAAAAAAATCTATTACTGTCTACCTAAAAAGTTGTTCTAAGAGAATAGCCTTAATTTATCTTCACCTGAACTAGGGTTTAATCACTGAGTTAATTGCTAAGAGGCTTTAAATAGAGTTCCAGTTCCCCTGGAAACCCTCTGCACTTGTTAATCTCTCAACACTCAGTTGCATTTAGGAAATGCACATTAATGATGTGGATTGTGAGTATGTGAAAAACCTGAATACAGTTCTTCATTACAGAACTTCAGGGTGAATTCCATGGTTTACCTGAATGCAAGTTAATTTCATAGTGCCATGATCCCAGATCCTGGTGCTAGAGGTTACGTAGATTATAAGTAGTCCTACAAAGCAATATGAAGGTGTGACTGCAATATGAGTAGACATCAATTTTGCAATAATGTCTAATGTGGTCAGTGAAAACATAGTGATGTGTATCTGTGGAGAAATTGAGATATTGATAATTTGAGTATTTTCAGGACAGTAAGGGATTGAACAGCAGAAGAAAGTTGACATCATGTGAAAAAATTAAAAGGTGCAAACTCCCCTTGGTAGCAAGATTAAATATAGTGAACTAAATTCTATGGTTATGTAAATAATGCCAAAACTTGGGTTGATATAAGGTATAAATATGAAATGCTCTTGTTGATTAAGAAGGGGTTGTAGCAGGAAAAGTGACTGTGGGATATATTTAATGTTGTACTTTCTTACTGCCTTTTACTGCTACATCCTTAGTATTTTGTTTCTAATATATTTTGCAATGTCAAACCTATGCCATCTGCTTTCAATATCAGTTTATAATTTACAAAGTATTGATTTTGATTATTATGTTTTAATGCTGGGATGAGGTTGATAAAGGATTTGGAAGTGTTTACAAAAAGTGCCTTTTTTGTAAACTAGGGCTATTTGTATTTTAGATTGCTACCAAGATTTTGCTGAGTAGCAAGCAATGAAGTTGACATAAATGTGATTTTCTGTGTTATGTTACTTTTAAAAAGGGTAACATCATAAATATTACCTGGTCTTCATTTAGTGTTACCTGAATGTAAGCCGTTGCGCAGAAAAGAAATTCCATGTAGTTGGTCAAGTTCTGTTTTTCTGCTGCTAAGTTTTAAAACTAAAGTTAATGATGCTTGTGATTAGCAGCTCAGTGCTACTCTGTTTTTAAAGCCCAGTAGTCAATTCTGTGCTTATCCTATTAAAATTTCTGGTGTAGCTTTTAGTCACACCAGTATATTATCATGGCCATCAGTTTTTGCTGGAATTTTTTTTCCAAATTTCTGTATGTTAGCAGCCAATTAAAGTTTAAGGCATATTATTTCAATAAAAATTACTTTATAGTAAGATTGAATATTACAGTTTAAAAATAATATCTTATTATTAAATATGATCTGTAGTAGATAGTGTGTTCATGTCTAAACTGCACAGGCTATTCATATACAGTGATTGTTTTATTTATATTGTCATTCTATTCTTAACACAAGCTAGTCCCCCTCTTCTGTTTGCATTAGTGAAATAATTAAAACTAATTTGAAAATTACGTATTTTAAATTATTTTACTTCAAATACAGTGGAAAGCTCTTTGTGTGAAAATACAAAATAGATTTTCTTTTACAGTCCTGTTAATGTATTTTTATTTTTCTTAGTTGTGTATAGGTTTGAAAGTTTTATGCTGTGTATCTTGGCATATATTGGACATCTTAAATTAGAGGATCATATACTGTTCATGTTTTTGTAGACTGCAGTCAACCTATGCTTGTGCACTCAAAAAATGCTTAAAAATCATTGTTATGGTGGCAGTCACCAGTCCTTTTAGAAGGTGTGCTTTGCTTACTTTGTTGTAATTGCAGCTGAAAATAGAGTTCAATATTATCACTAAGGGACAAAATATGAGCTAAGCATAATTAAAAGAAAAAAATGTAATAGTTACATAAGAAATAGTTACATAAGAAATACTTTAAAAGAAGAAACAAGCCATGCCAGCTTTCTTGTGTAGCAACTTCTTTTCAAGAAAGCTAACAATATTGTGGAAATTTTGTCTGAGTAGAGGATACATAGCCATGTATAACTAGATTCCTTTGGTATAGTTAGGTTACCTTTTTTTCAATTTAAAATAATTCTAACCAAAGTACTTCAAGTAGGGCAAAAAAAAGGTTGTGAAAAATAAGTTGTATAGCATCCAAGTGAAAGCAATGGTTGGGTTC